TTCCTATTGGATTGTTCCCTTTAAAAGGATGTAGTGACCTTCTTTGTCTCTCTTAATCAGTCTTGGCTTGAAATCCACTTTGTCTGCAAATAGAATAGCTACCCTTGCTTTTTTATGGTTCCTGTCACATAGAGTATTGTTTTTCATCCTTTAACTTTCAGTCTATGAATTTCTTTTTCAATTAAATGTGTTTCTTGCATGCAGCATATTGTTGGATCTTGCTTCTTGATCTATTCTGCTGGTCTGTTTCTTTTGATTGGTGGATTGAGACTGTGTACATTGATGGTTATAACTGTTATGTATTGACTTATTCTTGTCATGTTGTTTTCCTGTTGTTGGTTCCATTTTATTCCCTTCAGTTTAATTGCTTGCCTTGCCTGATGGATTCATTTTGTTGGGTTCATGGAGTTCTAGTCTTTGTTATCTCTGTCAAGAGTGTCCTTCAGAACATTTTGGAGTGCTAGTTTGGGGTTCAAGAATTTCCTCAGGTGTTCTTTGTCATGGAAGTATCATATTTCTCCATCAACTTTAAAAGATAGTTTTGCGGGATATAGCAATCTGGGTTGGAGATTGTTTTGTCTTAGGGCTTGAAATACTTAACTCCAAGCTTTCCTTGACTTGAGGGTTTGTGTTAAGAAGTCTGTTGTGATTCTGATGGGCTTTTCTTTCCCTCTTTTTTTTTTTAATGGTTTTTTTTTTTTTTGGTACCGGGGATCAAACTCGGGACCTTGCACTTGTGAGGCAGGTGGCAGAACCACTGAGCTAAATTCCTGGCCCTGATGGGCTTTTCTTTATAGGTGATTTGTTTCTTTTCTCTAACACCTTTTAATATTCTGTTCTTGTGTTGAATTTCTGGAATCTTGACTATTATATGCGTTGGTGGAGATTTTTTTTTTGGTACCGGGGATTGAACTTGGGTCCTTGCGCTTGCGCAGCAGGCGGTGAAACCACTGAGCTAAATCCCTGGCCCGAAGATTTTTTTTTTTGTTTTAATCATGGCTAATTAGAGTCCTATATGCCTCACTATCTTTATGTCAAATTCATTTTTCCTGTTTGAGAAATTTCTTCCATTACTTCTGTGAACTTGGTTTCGGCTATCGCATGCTTTTTTATTTACTCTGATCAATCTTACGTTATTCTTCTTTGCATCATCTAGGAGCAGTTAGATTGATTTTTCATTGTCTCTGCTATTTTAAGAGATCTTTCTTTTCATGATCACTAACTGCAGTCCTATCTTCTATATCTGATATTCTGTCTTTACATTGGCTTATTCTACTGCATATACTTTCAGAGGAATTTTTAATCTCCAGGGTATCTGTTTGAATCTGTTACATGGATTCCATTTCTTTCCTATGTTTGACATTCATGACTTCCACCATTTTCCTGACCTCCTCTTTTTTTCTTTAATCTATCTGCTGTAGAGTCACTAATCATGTACTTCATTATGGTCAACATCTCTGTAGTTATCTGAGATACTATGTCTGATTTGATTTTTTTTCTAGAGCCTCATTTATCTGCTTTGTTACTTCCACTGTTACCACTTCAGAGTCCAAGTGGTTGAGTTTCAAATTGTTCCACCTCATTGCTCCCTGGGTTTACCCTGGTGAGCTGGAAGTTTAGGGTTGTATCTTGCTTAAGTTTCTTCTCTCTCTCTCTTTTTTTTTTTTTGGTGCCAGGGATTGAACTGAGGACCTTGCACTTGCCAGGCAGGTATGGTGCTGCTAAGATATATCCCTGGCCCTCATTTTCTATTATTATTTGTTTTAGTTTAATTCCCGGGTTGATGCTTGTAAATTGTGTATGGCAAGTAGCTCTTTATTGCTGGTATTTAGAACCCTTAGGAAATGATTACTTCTCAGAGATGTTGTCCAGGTATAGCTGGCTTTTGGGTTTTGAATCTGTTGCAGGATCCTACCTCTTCAATTTACTGGAGATGAGAAGTTGCTGCCTATTTGGCCTAGCTCCTGGTTCTGTGGCACTGGCTATAGTATTGTTTATGACCCTTAGGCAATCTTAGTCTTGGCATAACAGGAAAAACAACTGATTAGAACAATTATGTCACCTTGGCTAAAGTAGTATCATTAGCAATAACAATAGCATCAAACACAGCCTAGGAAATGACAAACTGTGGTAACATTTTTTTTTTTGGAGGGTCCTGGGGATCAAACTCGAGACCTTCCACTTGCAAGGCAGATGGTGGAACCACTGAGTTAAATCTCCGGCCCCTGTGGTAACAATTGATTTACCACTTTTTTTTTTTGGTACTGGGGATCGAACTCGGGACCTTGCGCTTGCAAGGCAGGTGGCAGAACCATTGAGCTAAATCCCTGGCCCTGATTTACCACTTTTAACCATATGAACTAGATTTGTGGTTATATAACAAAATCTAAAACAAACCAGAAAATTTTATACAGTAAATATGCCCTCAGTATGGCAATTTTACCCTCAGGGGAGTAAATTTAAAAGGAGTTAGAGGGAAAAAATAGAGAAACAGAAGAAGAGGAAGAGATTAGAAGCAAGGCTAGAGACAAAGGAAGGTTCCACAATCTCTGGTCAAGAAAGGAGCAAAAGAGGGAAGAAAGAAATACATATAGGAACAGAACAGAAGAACAACAACAAAACATAGAAACAATATTCAGACTTACATAAAAATAAGAATAATCAAGAAAAAGCAAATGAAACAAAAATGAGCAAAGGAAAAAAATTTTTAAAAATGTTTGCTTCAAGGATGTCTTTGCTGTCACTGGTAGAAAAATTGGGCACACAGAGCCCAGATCCATGTTGATTACTCCCAAAAAGCGAGCTGTAGATTTACGGCAGGGTAGTAGACAATCTCAGCAAGCCTGCAGCTTTAGTTTTGAAGCTCAGGCTATTTTCTGGCTGTGAGGCTGGACCCCAGTTTGTTCAGCCTGCAGCACTCAGTGTGTCTCCTCCCAGCTTGAACTCAGATTCCTGCAGGCTTGAACTTGTCTGGTTGACCTTCTGCCATCCTGAACTTGGTTCTGCCTCACCCTGATGTATCCAGCCTCCAGCTTCTCTCATTTCCAAGCTCAATTGGCCCCTCTCTAAGATGGCTACTGGCCAGTCACCCTCTCCTTGGGGACATCCAAACCTGAACTCACCAACCATGGTAGTCTGCTGCATCTACTGCTCTGCTTCACTGGTGTGCTTCTCTGTGGAGGCCTGTGGGGTCACCAGCAGTCTCCATTAGTCTGCAGGTTTGAGCCACCCCTCCCATGCAGTGAATCATGGCTCAGGAAGAAATTGCTGCCCGCTACCTCCGTCATTGTTGAAGTCTCTCTCCACAGTCTCCCTGTGGGCTTCAATTCTTACTTTAGATCTTTGCTGGGTCCTGGGGACCCACTTCCCTCCTCCTTCTCTTCCTCATGTTGCTGTATTCCAGCATCTGGAGCCTGTTTCTCTGCTGTTCATTGCTTCGCCATCTTCCTGGAAAGACTTTCCTCTTTTTTTATTTTATTTTTTTGGTACCAGGAATCAAACTCAGGACCTTGCACTTTCAAGGCAGGTGGCAGAACCGCTGAGCTAAATCCCCAGCCCGACTTTCCTCTTTTTTAAAGGCTGAGCAATACAGTGCACCCTCAAGTTATGACTGGCCTGATATATGAACAACTTGGGTTACAACTGGAATTTTAAATTTAACCTACGACCAAAGTCTTGAGTTATGACCTTAATGCTGGCCGCTTGTGCTTCCAGATGGTCTCAAATACAGATTTAACCTTTAAAGAGTTCTGGAAGGAACATTACAGCATCCTTTTCTCTGGGGGGTTAATTGAGAAATCCTGGGTCATTGTCTCTCTAAGGTCACTGAGATCTGCCTGTATACAGGAGAGAGATTTTGAAGGCTGTGTAGGGGAGCCTGAGCATTCAATTGACCAACTTGAGTTACAACCAGCCCTTGGGAACGAATTGTGTTCATAAGTCAAGGGTCCACTGTAATTCCATTTGAAGGATAAACCATTTTGCTTATCTGTCATACATCAGTAGACACTTGGGTTATTTCTGCATTTTAGCTATTGTGATTAATGCTGCTGTGAACATGGGTATGGAAATATCTCTTCAAGACTGTGCTTTCAGTTATTTTAAAAGTATACCCAGGGCCGGGAATTTAGCTCAGTGGTTCCGCCTGCCTCACAAGCACAAGGACCCAAGTTTGATCCCCGGGTACCAAAAAAATAAAAAATAAAAATAAAAATAAAGAAAAAAGTATACCAGAAGCAGAATTGCTGCATCACATGATAATTCTGTGCTTCAATTTTGAGGAACCACCACACTTTTACATGGTAGCTGCACCATTGTGCCTCCTCACCAGTAGCACACAAGAGCCCAGCTTCCCCACATCTTCACCCATGCTTAGGTCATGGTTTCTTCCTTTTAATGATAGCCATCCTAAAGGGTATGAAATGGTATTTCATTATAATTGTAAGATCCATTTTCTTAATGGTTAGAGATGTTGAGCATCTTTTCATTTGCTTTTTAGATATTTACACATCTTTGGAGAAATGTCTGTTTAGGTCCTTTGCACAATTTTGAATTTTTTTGGTAGATATATATATATATATAAAATGTTAATGTATATGCTGGATATTATATGTTCTGGATATTAGTCTTTTATCACATGTATGACTTGCAAATATATTATCTCATTTTACAGTTTTCCTTTATGCTATTGATACTATCTGTGATCTATCAAATATTAAATTTTACATATTAAATATTAAAATTTCATGTAGTCCTATTTGTGTTTTCTGTTTTGTTGCTTGTGCCTTTGGTTCCATATCCAAGAAATCATTGTCAAGTTCATTGTAGTCAGAGAAGACTTTGTATGTGTCTTAAAAATGAGATTTAACTTACAGCCTAACATAGGTCTATCTAGCACTCAGGAGACTCAGGTTGAAAGGTCACTGAGTTTGCAGCCCACTCAGGTAGCACAGCAAGACTGTGTCTGAAAAAAAAGTTAAAGTACCAGATTTTCCTTTCAGGTGCGGTGTCTGAAAGACTATGGAGAATTTGAAGTTGATGATGGCACTTCAGTCCTGTTAAAAAAAAATAGCCAGGTATTTCTTGTCACCAAATATTTTACTTTAAACCTGGTAAGCGTGTGGAATGTGGAGATGTTGGAATGAATAGCAAAGTCACTACTGCCTTTGATGACCATGTCATAGGCACTGTGTTTAGTAGAGGACACCCTGTGCTTTTCCAAATACTGTCTCTAAGTGAACGTTTCATGCCGTAGGAAAGATTAGTTAATTTACAAGGATGTTGCTTATATTTAATACTAAGCATTTTCCATGGAAATTATTATAATGGGTCTTATTCTAGTTAAGTGGTAGATCATTATTCCAAGGCTTTTGATATGTTGTTGGATTTAGTGCCTGTCCCTAAATTATAATTTTTTTTTCTGTACCGGGGATCAAACTCAGGATCTTGCGCTTGCAAGTCAGGAGCAGCACCACTGAGCTAAATCCCTGGCCCCCTAAACTATAATTTATAAAAAAGTTCCTAACCAATCTTTTCAGCTTGTACTTCACCTTAACCTGGTTCTTTAAAAAACAATGGTGAGTTTTAAAAAATGGTGGTATAGATCAAGAATTTCTAAGTATTTAACATATACCATAATATGAGGATGTTGAAATTATAACATAACTTGAGCTGAATTTTTCCTTATAAAGAATTTCAATATTTTATTTCCTTAGCCATTTTCAAATTCAGATTAGGTGGATTCACACTGGCTGAATTTATTTTTATTGCCTTTCTTTCAAGGATCTGCACTCTATTTTCTTTGAGTATATATTTAAAATTCTGCCTAGTAAACTTCATGCTTCTGAAAAAAATTCTTTCTGTCCTATCTTAATCTTCTGAGATCATAGTGTAGGAGGTAAAAGGACTTCATAAAAGCCTCTCTCTCTGTTGCTATCTTGGTATTGACCAAGGCGCTGACCTGTATTTGTGCCATAGAGCAAGGTTTCAGCCCATGTGGTTCTTGGTCTCTTATTTCACTAGTAGTCTTGGAGTTTTCATTTCCTAAAGCAAATGTTGACTGTTTTAAAAACAGGTTTTGAGGGTACCCTGAAGGCAACAGTGTCACTCAGTGTCCCTGCAGAAAGAGGGCATGGATATAGCAGAAGCAGAGGAGGAGTTGAGCTTGAAGAAGTCCTGTGTTTGGGGAGGACCCATCAGGAAGCTGTGGTTCACAGGAAGCGCTGTCCCCAGCAGGATGGCAACCTTCTTCCTCCAGCAGTGCCTTCTCATTTGCCCCTGTGTGGACCACACGGACAGGGCCTTCCTCTGGGGGTGCTTTTAACTTTGTCTCTCAGTTGTCAGCCTGCCCTCAAGAAATGAAGCCACTAAAAAATTTAGTCACCGTATCTTAACTCTTATCTTAACATCAACTTCTGTATTTGATACTTATGGGCTTCTAAAGTGTCTGACTAGACCTGAGATTGACTGTAGACCATGGTGTAGATAATCCCCCTAACGTAGACATTAGTAGAGAAACATTTTCTTACCACACATGCTTTAATACCTGTCATTGTGGCAGCATGAGGAGAAATCATGACTCCTCTTTTAAATAATAGCATTAGAGTAACTATTAAATGAACCCTCGTGTTTAAATAACAGCATTAGAGTAGCTATTAAATGCACTGTTTAAAAGTCAGTGAACAAATTAGTCAAAAGTCCTTGGCCTGTGTCTTCGTGACTCACTGAGAAGAATTTGTTCAGTCTTTATAAAGCCTTTGAGTCTGTGAGGCAGGATCTTCAAGTGCCAGTTTGCTGAAGTTACATTTTGCTTCTTGAATTTTTTTGAGGGGGGTACTGGAGATTGAACCCAGGGCCTTAGCACTGAGCTACATCCCCAGCCTGTTTTAATCTTTAAGAAAATTTTTGAGACAGCACCTTGCTAAGTCACTGTGTTGCCCAGGCTTGGCTTGAACTTGGGATCTTCCTGTTTCAGCTTTAGCTGGTTTAAATAGTTTTGATAATCCCTTTCACTGAGATTATTTTCTAAGGTAATTTGCCTTAATTTATAATGTTCTACTTCAAGCTTTTACCCAATTAGATCTTTCTTTGAGGTTGAACATCTTTCTGTGAGCTTCTGAGACACTTCCGTGTCTTCCTACTCTGATCACTGCTGCATGAAACCCCTCTACTTTGGAGAAGGAAGAGACTACTTTCCACTTGGCCTCAGTCCTCTCAGAACAACAGGGGTGACCTCCCTGGGGATACTAGATGGTTGTCAGCAGGTTCCAGCATCTTCACGCACAGCGTGTGAATAGTGCCCTCGTACTTAGGAGTACCTTTAATTTTTCAAAAGCACAGGAGCAATTGCCTTGCAAGCAGAAGAACCTGAGTTTGATCCCCGGTACCAAAAAAAATGCACAGGAGCAAAGTTGCCAGTGTTGATGCTAGATTAAAGGTTCCTGGGGAACATGTTCCTTCTGGTGGTCTTCCCACTGGGCTGCTATCCCATTGGTGATCTGTGCCCCCACCTCACCCTCCTGGGTTTTCTGCACATTAATTCAGAAATGCAGACCCTGTGGGAAGTGCCTACCAGAATCCAGAAGTCCCTAGTTGAATTTAACTTCAGCAAACTGAATTCATTTATGAAAGTAAGAATTTCACATACCTTGCAGTGAATCAATTTCAGTTGATCATAACAGCAAATACAGTTAAGTTGAACTTCTTAGCTATGGGAGTTTGAAAAATAATCAGCTGCTGCTTTTTAATGATGGCAAATCAATATAAAATCTTGGTTATTTCTCTGACTCTTCCCCACCCTTTTCTCCTCAGCACTTTTTGCCTCGGTGGAAGTGTGAGCAGCTTATCAGACAAGGAGTACTGGAGCATGTCCTGTCCTGACCATGTGTGTGACTCCACGGTGCTGCTACCTCACCCCATGTGGCACTGAACCCAGATCACTGAAATGTCTACACTTTGGCCCCACAGTGATGGAAAGCTAACACACTGGTCCAGTGTTGTACCCTTGAGTTACCCCTCCAGCCCCAGTCTTTATTTGAAATGAATGTGTACTAGCTAAAAACTTGAAATTGTGAAGTTTGTATCAGTTTTTATTGACTGGCTCTTTAGAGTTGTGGCTAAAGTTTTAAGTGTATATCACATTTTCTTATCATAAAGCTGTCAGTCAGGTGTGGTAGCACACACCTGATATCCCAGCATTCAGGAGGCAGGGGCAGGAGGATCACAGGTTCAAGGCCAGTGTGCTATACATAGCAAGCTCACAGTTGGCCTGGATTACATAGTGAGACGCCATCTCAGCCCCCATTCCCCCAAAATGAAATATATGTACAAAAAAATGAAAAGTCTAATGTACAAAATGAAAGTAATTCTTCTCCCTCTACTAATTACTGCCATCTGGTGGGCCAGTGTTAGCTGACCCACAGGTGGGATACAAGCCTCCATCTTTTAAGTGTTTTACCAATTATTTCCTAGTTTTCGTGCCATTTTAATATTTTTAAACTGGCTTTGACTGATATGTGTAAGAAAACTGAAGATTATGATGTTATGTAAACCCATTTTTCACATGGATTCTGCTGCCAAGAGCTCTGGGGACAGTGTTCCTTGCTGGTGACAGCTGAAGCTTGTCATCTTCCTGACTCAATGGGTACCACAGCTTACCCTTGCCCATGTTTTTTGGGGTTTTTTTAATTTTCATTTTTATTGGTACATATTTGTGCCTGATTACATTCTTTATTATTTTTTTGGTACCAGGGATCAAACTCAGAACCTCATGCTTGCCAGGCAGGCACTGTGCCACTGAGCTACATCCGTGGCCCAGTAATGATTACATCCTTTTTTTTCTTTGGTACCGAGGATGGAACTTAGGTCCTTGTGCTTGTAAGGCAGGTGGCAGAACCACTGAGTTAAATCCCCAGGAATGATTACATTCTTCATGAGGAGTTGTACATGGACATAACACATCTTAATTCATTTTTTCATTCCCTTCCTTGCCCATATTTCATCAGGAAAAATGTCAAAGCTTGTGGCTTCTCTCAGTGCAACCTCAAAGTAAATTCAATATCATAATTGAAAACAAAACAATGGTAACTGACAAAAATAGTTTTTCTTAAAAAGAAAATACAGTTTTTCTAGGAGTGCTTCTGAAACCTGAGTGACAACTGTATGGTTGCTCACTTACCTCCCTAAAGCTATGGATTATAGAAATAAAGTTTGTTTTTGAACTCTCTTGCATTCCTGTGTTAAGCTCCTCTTGGCCAAGGTGTGTTAACTGCTGAGCAACCTGCAAGACTGGTTTTGCATCTGTAAGTGGCACTGGTTTGTAGTACTTTGGAGGAAGGGTTGTGCACGTGGGAGTTCCCGTGTCAGCATTTTGGGTTATCTGTTCCTTGAAAACCCCCAAACATGGTGGCTTTAGCCACTTTGTGTTGAGTCAGGCCTGGGCATGGCTGGGGCAGCTGGGCAGAGATCCCCAGATGTTCTGGGGTCTCCATTTCAGGTGTTCCTGATGGTGGCTGTCTGGTGTCCTCTCCCTGGTGCTGTCCAGCAGGTGGCAGCCCAGGGTGTCCTTGGCTGTGGGACCTGCCTGCTGTCCCAAAGGCCAGGCCTGGTGTTGGGCCAACCAGCCTGCCACAGCCCATCCCCAGGGTCCCTGAAGGAACTGGAAGAGCACATAAGGTGGGCGCTGGTTTTGTTCCTACTGAGTTCTGAGAGTTCTTACATATTCTAAATACACTTCCTTTGTGAGATGTGTGCTCTGTAAAGGCTTCTGTCTGTAAGCTTGGTTCAGAGGCTGGTATGTTCTCCCCACCACCACCACCACCAGTGTACTAAGGATTGAACCCAAAGCCTTCACACTAAGCAACGTCCCCAGTCCTTTTTATTTAGTTTTTTTTGAAACAAGGTCTTGCTAAATTGCCCTGTCTGGGCTCAAACTTGCAATCCTACCTCAGCCTCTGAGAGTCCTGGAATTGCAGGGGTGCAACACTTCACCCAGCTCAGTCTAATTTCTTTTAAAGAACAGACATTTTTAATTTTAGTGAGATCCTATTTACTTGTCATTTAAAAAAAAATTTTTTTTCTGATACTGGGGATTGAACTCAAGGTCTCTGCACTGAGCTACATCTCCAGCCCTTTTTATTTTTTATTACTGAAACATGATGTCTCTAAATAACTAAGTTGCCCTAGCTAGGTTTGCACTTGGAATCCTCCTGCTTTAGCTTCCTAGAATGCTAGGATTACAGGCATGTACATCTATGAAATCTGTCCCACCCCAGGTCATAATATGTTTCCTTTTTTCCTCTTTAAATGATAGGTTTTATACTTAAGCCAGATCCATTTTGAAGTAATTTCTGTATGTGGTACAAAGTATGGTTCCAAGTTCATTCCCCACCTTGGGTATATAACTAACTATACAGCAGCTGCAGTCCCATCTATTGAAAAGGCTATTCTCTCTGCCCTATTTTTTTTTAAGCAAAACATTTATTGATACATTTTAGATATGTATAATGGTAACACTCATCATAGGGAACTTGTACCTGCACGTGACACATCCCGTTTCTTCCCTTTTTTCCCAACCCCCTTCTCCCAATCCCTCTTTCCTCCCCAAAGCCTTGTTTCTATTTTTTCCTTCCATTTTCTTTTTTTCTTGTCTCTTCTTTCCCTCCCTCTCCCCTTGCTTTGTTCCCCTTCCCATTTAAACATTTTCTTCCCATTTCCCAATGTCTTTTGTAATTTTGGTCTTTATTTCTACTTTCAGTTTTTCACACCAGAGAAACAATGCAGTATTTAAATATGTGTGTTCAATTTATTTCACTTTAGAGTATGGTCTCACGGGCAGGGGATTTAGCTCAGTGGTTCCGCCCCCTGCCTCGCAAGGGAAAGGACCCGATTTCGATCCCTGGTACCAAAAACAAAAACAAAAACAAAAAACAGTATAAAGAATATGATCTCAAGGTGCATTCATTTAGCTATAAATTTCTGAAGCTCATCCTTTATGGCAGAGTAGTACTCCATTGTATAAAAAAACCACATCTTTATCCATTTTCTAATTGATGTCTGCCCTAGTTTCTTTATTAAATTTTTTTCTTGCAATACTGGGGAACAAACCTAAGTGCACTTTACTGCTGAGCTATATCCCAGACTTTTTTTCACTTTGAGACAGGGTCTTACTAAATTGCCCAGATTGGGCTTAAACTTGTGATCCTTCTGCCTCAGGCTCCCCGAGCTGGGATTACAGGTGTGTTCCATCATACCTGGATTTTATTAAAAATTAGTTGTTTGAATTTGGGGAACTTATCGAGACCCTGCCTCAAACTAAAATTTTAAGAAGGGCTGGGGTCATAGCTTAGTGGTAGGGCACTTGTCTAGCATGCATGAGGCCCTGGGCTCCATTCCTAGTACTAAAACAAAATTAGTTGCCTGTGTATAGGTGGGTTATTTTTGGACTCCTGGTTCAGTCCCACTGACCTACTTTTCTTTCCTGACACCAATACTGTGCTATTTGTATGTGTCACATGCAGTGGATAATTTTGACGTAGGTATGTTAATTCTCCACATATCTTCTTTTTGGGGGGTACCAGGGATTGAACTCAGGACCTTGCACTTGCAAGGCAGGCGCCGGAACCACTGAGCTAAATCCCCAGCCCTCCACATATCTTCTTTAGGTTTGTTTTGCTCTGGTGAATCCTTTGCTTTTCACATTAAATATAGGGTTAGCTTGTTAATTTCTCCCCAAACATAAACAAAAACACCTGCTGGCATTTGATTAGCATTTCACTGAATTTGTGTGTGTGTGTGTGTGTCATTGGGAGTGAACTGACATTGCAACAGTATTGACTTTTCTGGCCCCAAAGCAAGGTGTATCTTCCCTTTGTTTCTGTCTCCTATTTTGTAGTTTTCAGTGTACAAGTCTTAACAAGTCTTGTCTATATTTCATAGTTTTGATAAATAGTATTTTGAAATTTCAAATTCTAATAATTTATCAGTAAGTACAGATGCAGCTGAAGTTTAATATATATCCTGAAATGTTGCTAAACTCCTTCCTTCCCATAGCTTTTCTGTAAATTGCATCAAGTTTTCTACGCCCAGTCATGCCTTCTATGAGTTTTACTCTCCCTTTGTAATCTGGAAGCCTCTTTTGTTGCCTGATTGCAGTGGTTTGAGCCACCAACAGTATTGGATAAAAGTACAATCTCAGGAGGAAGGCATTCAGTCTTTCACCATTGGTATATTTGCTCCTAAGGGTTTGAAGATGTCTTTTATCAGGGAGAAAAGGTTCCCTTCTGTTTCTTTCTTTCTTTTTTGGGGGGGGATGTTGAGACAGGGTCTAGCTATGTAGTTCAGGTTGGCCTTGAACTTACTGTATAGCCTAGGCTGGCCTCAAACTTGTGGCGATCCTCCTGCCTCAGCCTCCCAAGTGCTGGGATTACAGGTGTGCCACTATGCCCAGCTCTTCTGTTTCTAGTTTACTGGAGTTTTTACAAAGTCAGGAATGGATGTTGGAGTAAGTCATATCAATTCTTGCATCTATTGACATGATGTTTTTGTCCTTTATTTTGCTAATGTGGTGAATTGCAGTAGTTGATTAGTTGATTTTCTGAAGTTAAGGCAACTGTATATTCCTGCCAGAAATCCCACTTAGCCATAATGTATTATTCTTTTCGGTTGGATCTTACTTGAAAATATTGTTTAAAATCTTTGCATCCACCTTCTTATCACAGGATATTGGTCTGTAATGGTCTTACAATGTCTGTGAAGAATGAAGGCCAGGGTAGTCCTGTTGTCCTCATAGAATGAGTTGTGAAATACTTCTTCCTCATCATTGTTTTGGAAGAATTTGTTTGTTTGGTATTATTTCTTCCTTAAATGTTTAATAGAATCCACATTTAGACCATCTGGGCCTGGAGTCTCTTTATGAGACATTTAACCACAATTTAAATTATTTTAATAGATATAGGGCTATTCAGATTTCCATTTTTTCTTTAATAAGCTTTGGTAATTTATGTCTTCTCCATTTTACCTAAGGTGTCAGAAACTTACTGGCATAAAGTTGTTCACATTAGTGTATTACACTTAATATCTATAAACTCCGTAATGATATTACCTATTTCTGTTATTGGTAAATGTTTTTCTCTTTTATTCTGCCCCATCTGACTAGACATTCATCAGTTTTATTAATCCCTGAGAGAACTAGCCTTTGGTTTATTGATTTCTGTATCCCTTTTCTGTTTTATCTGAGCAGCGCACTTCTTCAGAGCTTGGACTTGGCAGGCCCCTGGACTTGGCAGGCCCCATGGTCTGTTACTGCTCAAGAGTTGTGCTGTGGCCCACAGAGGGCACTGCCATATGTAAGTGAACCTGTGGCTGTGCCAAGCTACCAGAGCAGGCTGTGAGGCTGTGCCCCGCCTGAAGACTGCCGCTGCTAACACTGATCTTCTGTTTCTTGCATCTGCTGATCTTCATCATTTCCTTTTCTTCTTCCTTTGGGTTTAATTTTGCTCTTCTTCTTCCAGTACTTAAGGGAGAAGCTGAGGTCACCTATTTCAGACATTTCTTTCAGTACTGGGGCTCACACATGCTGGGCAAGCACTCTGCCACTGAGCCACATCCCCAGCACTTTTTAAAAATATTTTTTTGACAGAGTCTCACTAAGTGCCCAGGTTGGCATTGAACTTGGGATCCTCCCGCCTCAGCCTCCTGAGTAGCTGAGATTAAAGCTGTGCACCACCAGGTCCAGCCTTTCTTCTTTTTTAATAGAAATGTTTGGGGCTGTTATGGTTTAGATCTAGAATGTTCCCCCAAATTCTCAGGTTGTAGAAGGTGATGGAACCATGGGGCACTAAATTATTTATCAGTGGATTCATCCACTGAAGAGTTCAGAGCTGAAAGTGCAGTTGGGTCTGGTTAGAAGTGATAGGTCACTGAGGATGTGACTTGGAAGGACACATCTACCTCCCTGGGTCATCCCTTTGCCCTCTGCTTCCTGGCTGCTCTGATGTGACCAGCTTTTTCTTCAGTAGACCCTTCTACCATGCCATTACTGCACTGCAGCCAGTCAACCATGGACTGAAAATGTGAGCCAAAATAAACCTCTCCAATGCCAGGTGTGGTGTTGCAGGCCTGTAAGGCTGAGGCAGGAGGATCCCCCAAGTTTGAGGCCAGCCTGGGTTACATAGTTCAAGGACAGCCAGAACTACATAGACCCTGTCTCCAACAACAACAAAAACAACAACAAAACCAAAATAAGCCTCTCTCTACCTTTAAGTTATGAGTGTCAGGTAGTGTGTTCCGGTGACTGGAAAGTAACTAAGACGGATGCTATGAATTTCCCCCTAAGTACTTTGACTCAACCTCACAAGTTTTGGTACATTGTTTTCATTTCCATTCAGTTCAAACTATTTTCTAATTTCCCCTTTGATTTCTTCTTGGCTCCATGGACTTAGTATGTTCCTCAGAATTTCCCGGGTATCATTTTCTTCTTGGTTTCTAATATAATTCCATTGAAGGTATAAAATAATACTAATATAATTCCACTGAAGGTGTCAAATATACTTTGTATACTTGGATTTTTTTAAACTTTGAAACTTGTATCAGCAAGGCCCCAAACACAATCTAATTTGGTACATCTCCCAAGCACACTTCTGTGGTTGGGTAGTGGGTCTGCGTATGTCAGTTGGTGGCTAGTATTTCCCTTTTTGTCACTACAGTCCCAGAGAGATGCCCCAAGTGAAGGCATGTACCCTACTTGTCTTGATAAATGAAGCTCATTACACCTGTGTAACACAAACTGAGACAGCAGCTTAACAATTGGTAGAAGTGGTCCCCATTTGATGCTCTTTTTTGTCAGTTTTCTTGATTGTCTTGTTTGTGTATCTAGTTGTACCTATCTGTGGACTTTAGGATTCTTGTGTCCTCCTCTAGGGTGAGGGGCTTCTAGGGAGCAGGGAATACTTGTTTGTATTTTTATTGGGAATATATTACATTTATCAGTGAACTCAGAAGTCAACTGTTCAGCTATATGTCGTTGAGATTCTGTCCCAAAACAAATCTTTCTGACCTCTCCTAGGCTTCAGGATCTTTCTTAGTGCTGTAAAGCTTTCTTTCCTGCCAGTATACACAGCACCAGCAGATGAGAAGAGGCACTCCAACTTCAGGATGGGCTGCCCCAGGATGAGGAAGGTGGTCAAGAGCATCAGGACAGGCTCCCCACCTCTGTGTAGAAGGCTATGGCAGAAGGTTATTTCAGATATCCAGTATATGGGCACATGGGTGCTTCTCATAAAACTGTTTTTCTACCAGGAGTGGTGGTGCTCACCTGTAATCCCAGCCACTTGGGAAGCTGGCACAGGAGGATCACAAGTTCAAAGCCAGCAAAACTCTGTCTCAAAATAAAAAAATGAAAGGGCTGGGGATATAGCTTAGGGCTCCTTGGGTTCAATCCCAAGTACTGCGAAACAAAACAAAACTTTTTCTATGTGCTTGAAATACTTTACAGTTTTGTCGTTTTGAGACAGGGTCTCACTTTGTAGTTCAGGCTGGCCTTGAACTATGTAGCCCAGGCTGGCCTCAAACTCATGGCAATTCTCCTGCTTCAGTCTCTTGAATGCTAGAATTACATGGTGTGTGACACCATGCCCAGGAAATATCTTATAATTAAAAAAACTTAAGTCAGTTTTAATAGAAAAGAATTTATGGCAAAATACAGTGATTTCACATTATAGTAGTACATTCTGCTAAATAAAATGGCCATAATGTATGTTTCAGATATAAAACTATACTTTTTTTAACATGTGCAATCTCCAGTGTGATGACATTTTAATAAGGAAATGACTGTATTTGCAAGACACCATTGTCCCTGAGTCTGCAGATCTTAGTTAGACCAGCCCCGCCCAGACACCCCCAGCAGGCCCTGAAGGGGTATTTGTCCCTCCTGAGTCCAGGATGACTGCACAACACAGGGAGTCACTGGAGCATGTGGACTCATGGTCCAGAGCTCTTGTGATCTGAGCTCCGAGGGGTGATGAAATGGGAAGAGCGCACAGAGTCCTGACTCTGCACTCTATTTTTCCAGATAAAAGCACAGCTCTAAGCGTTTCACCCTTTTTCTTAGTTGCTTTTTGCTGAGCCCCAGAGCTGCCTCTTCAGTGAGTGGGAAAACTGGGAGCAGATAGTGGGGTCTTATCCAGGACCACTGATAAGAGCGTGGCCTGCTGCCCTGTGCACATTTCCTGGCATCTGGCACAGAGCAGACATTCACTGCACTCCTGTATAATGTCAAAAGATGTTCCCTAGGGTGAATTCTAGGAAGGCAAGCAGCCTACACAGAGAGAGCCGCAGGTGCAAGCTTGCTGATCAGTGTGTTGAGAGCTCGAACTTTCTCCTCCAAGATGCGCTTTTGCTTCTCAGCACCCCACTGCTTCTGCTCAGCAACTTGAAGAGCCTTTGTGAGGTGAGCATTTTCCACATAGAGCTCCTTGAGCAGCAGGCCGGATCTAGTGGTCTTTTCCAACTAGAGGAGAGCCATGTTTATAGTCAATCCTCTGCAGAAGTGCCATGTGACCAGCCAACTAGCCTGCCCCCCCCACCCCACGCACACACGCCACATCTGTCCCAGCCATAATTCAGATTCCTAGAGATCTGACACAATACTAAGTACACTGGCAAGCAGGGTGTGGTGATGTACACCTGTAGTTCCAGCACTCCTGGAAGCTAAGGCAGAAGGATTACAAATTCAAACTCAGCCTGGGCAACTTAGTGACTTGGCAAGACCCTGTCACAAAAAATGTTTTAAAAGTGCCAGGGTGCTGGGAGTGTAGCTCAGTGGTAGACTGCTTGCCTACTATGCACAAGATGTGCTTTCCTCAAAGGCCCTGAAACAGTTCCCCAAAGAAACACTATACATGATGCAGTGTGGGGTAGTACTTGGTAAAATCAGTCTTCTGTAGATTACTTCATTATCAATCTGAAGATAATTTGCTCACTCTCTGGTTGAAGTTTAGACCCCTAATGTGGCAGTCCCACGTGGAAACAGGGCACCCTGGACTCTGTGAAGAGCTGCTGGGGCCTGCGGGGAGGGGACTCAGAGGGTTAGAACTGCTGCCACTCACCTGGTCCAGCTTCTCCCGAAGGAGCAGCTCCACCTCTACTGCTGGCCCTGCCCTGGTATCCAGCTGCTCCTGCTCCTCCTGCCACAGAAGAAGGTTCCACACCCACTCATGTTTCAGAAGGAGTCACCATAGTGCTTATTTACTTCAAAATGAAAATTGGCCAAAACATAAAATCTGAGAGTAACCATGAGTAACCCTCCATCTGTACAAAGTGGTGCCACCCACGGCAGCCATATACCCGGCTTCCAGCCCTGGTCAGGGCACAGTGTGACCACACAGAAAACCTGAAGGGCCAGGGGCCTTGGGAGCATAGGGCCTGCTGCAGCCATGAGCCTTGTCCACCCACGCATCACTCAGCCAATGCCTTCAACTGAGCAACTGAAGGCCAGATCTAAACCCAGCTTACATCAGTCTGACCCTGGAGGCTTCTTCCAGAACAGTTTCCTTGATGCCATAAAGACCTGGTGACTTCACCCTGATTCTCCTGAGATCCCACTGACATGAGGGGGAGTCACAGCCTTGTCAGAGTCTGTTCTGAGGCAGATACAGTGAGGCCACATGATCCAGGGAAAGGGAGAGCACGCCTGCCCCACTCTGTGCCCCTAGCCGGCCCACAGCCCACCTGAGCTGGACCAGGCCTGGCCCTGCCATCTCTCAGGCCAGGACTGGACCGAGCACCTCCAGCCACCATGCATACCCACCTGGTCCTGGCCTTCCTCACGGCTCTCTGTCAGCTCTGACCGTACCAGTTTCAGGCGCTGACATTGCTGACTCATGTGCTCAAGTTCAGTTTCAAGCTTCTGGATCTGGGCACACTTATAAAATATTAATTTCATAAGTACAGTACCATAAATAGCCCACTACATGCTTAATGAAGAAACTTTAGACTATTATAGAAATTAAACATGGCAAAAACATGTCCCATGGTGCCCAAACCCACCCAACATCCTTTTGTAATTCTCTCTTGCATTTCCCAGGACACACGGGGCCCTGGGCCACTCTACTCTCACTGCAACCCCAGGATATCAGATGTTATTGGAGAGCTAGGTCTTCAGCAGCTCCACCATAATTACCCATCATCTACTGCTTACAATTCCAACTGATTCAGGTCTGTTTTACTATTATAAATAGCACAGTGATGAAAATACTTCTAGTTAAGTCTTGCCATAAGGCTCTTAGGTATAGTTCCCATGAGGAGGGTCCTGCATGTCCAATCATGTGAACATTCTTGATGCTCTTGACACATATTTTAGTGAGCTGTCCTCTGAGGAGCTTACACCAGTTCACTGTCCAGGCATCAGCATTTAATTCCATTTTTCAACTGCATTGCCCCTGAGAAAAACTGGGGCATCTAACACAATGTTTCTGAGAAGACTCTTTTGCACTCCCAAGACTTGCCCAGTCTGGGGGACACTCTATGTATGCCTGGACCAGACTGTCCAGATAAGTATAGTCTGGGGACCCTGGGAACTGGGCAAACTAGTGAGTGGTCTCTGTAGGAGGCATCACCTGCCCTTACACTAATCAGCTGTTCCATGGGATGCTGTTCATCAACAGGACAGAGCCAGCTCACAATGTCACTGCTATGTAGCCTTGTCTGCAAAAGGCCCTCCCAATGGTGACTAGGCATGGAACAGAGTGTCATGGAGAGGGTAAGTGCCTCCCTCCAAGACACTGCAAATTGGTGGTCTCCTGTCCCACCCACCACTGCCACTTTCCTGTCCGGCCCACCACCCCAACCTTGGGGACGAGTTCTTGTCCAGCCTGTGGCCGCTGGACCCTCTCCTTTCCTGTTACTAAGTTTTAGTCTATCCTATTCTTTCCTGCTTGCACTCATTAACATGTTCATGATGGGGTGTAATTCATGTTTCTCTGCCGAGAGGCTCTGATTTGAATTTGATCATTCCAGCCAGCTTGAACCACCGGTAGTACATGGATGACTGTCTCATTGGGTGGCTTGTACCACTGGTGGTACAAATGGATCTAATCACTTTTATCGGTCTTTTTACAATAAAACTAATGAAAAGTCTATAAATGGACCAAATGTAGTTTCTTAAACTTAAATAATTATTGCCCAAATATAAATATTAACACTATTCATGCCAATTAAAATTATAATAATAAACTTTTTTAAAATTAAAAAGTTCATAGCATTTCTTTATGGGTTAATAAAAAATTAATTCCCTACTCAGTGGCACCGTGGCTGGCTCACAAGCGCAAGGTCCTGAGTTCAATCCCTGGTACCAAGAAAAAAAATTAATTCTCTAAATTTTAACATGGAAATCTTACAAGTACCCCATTGCTGGTGTATATAATATGTGTTTACAACTGCTATACCACAAATTGTATTATAATTTTTTAATACCATTTTAATGTTTTCCTTAAGGAACTGTAATGTGATGACAACTGGTCTGGTAAATCAGCACCTTTCTTAGTATTTTTGTAATCAAAGACCCACTGCAAAGCGGGTCTTCATAAATGAAATAGGTCTTCACAAACCCCATCTGTTTCCTTGGATCTCTTGGTGCCACTGTACTCCCCTGGCACATCTAGGTTGTGGACACAGTGGCTATTTTCTCCAGGTCCTGGGGATCTGCTGAAGCTGCTTAAGCCTACTCCCCCAGGGCTTGCGAAGCCCCGCACTCTCCTGTCGGAGTGCTCACCTCTCATCCGTGGGCCTCGCTCATTTGTACCCATGACTCCTGCCGCCCTTACCTGCTGCTCCTCTCGGCGCCCCACTTCCTCCAGCCTCTGTGTTAATAGTTGAGCAGCTGCCAGGTTCTCCTCATTTTGGGCCTGATGGGTGGAAGTGACCCCTTCCAGCTGAAGGACCCTGCAGTTGAGCTGTGATACTTCATTCTTGTATTTCAGATTCTATAGCAAAAAAAGGTTAAAACAGATTGAGAAACGGCTTTTACACCAGCAGCTCCATTCAAATCATTCCAGTGGTTCCCAGGCAGCGACACCTTTGCTTCCGGGAAGCATTTGGCAGGGTCTCGGTTTATCACACCTTGGGGAAGAAGGTGCTGGCATTGAGAGCTGGGGTGACTGATACCCTGCAGCGCAGGCCTGACACAGCCCGGACATCAGGAATGCCAAGGACCAGAGTCCTGGTGTTCCTCAGGAGGAACAGGCCTTAGCCACCAGGGCTATTACGTGCCACAACCATGGTCTACCATGGTGAAGACCGTTTGCATCTGTCCCATTTCCCCCATGGTTATTTCTAAGGCATTTTAAGCAATTTAAAGTTTACAAACAACTGAATTCAACCTGAAGTATGACAGTCTCTTCAAAGTCTCCCCTGCTCTTTGTCACTGGACATGCAAGAGCTTTTGGCAGGCAGTGTGTGTCCACTGAATGGGATAGTTTGCTTTTTTCCACAGCCACTGCTGGCCAGAGGATAGAAGATTGTCAGCAAATGCCCAAGGGTGAATGAGGACGCACCAGGCATGGAAGCAGCAGCTGGGAAGTTGGCCCTAAGCCTCTCACCACGGAAATTCCGGCATTTGCCATTCTTGTCATGACTGTCTTCACACAAACCACATTTCTGCTCCCTTGCTTTTTCCCACTGTGGTCAGTTTTAGGGTGAGGGTGCCTGCAGCACCGAGGGCCTCGGCTGCTGAGGCTCAGCACTGTGGTAAATACTGTTCTGGTTTTGTGAGCTTAAAAAGAACATGGAGGATCCTGAAGTTGCTTCATTTGGGTTTGTCTAAGCTTGGCAAGTTCTCTGAGAATCTCAGTCATTTCCTTCCCCAGAACCTCAGGGGTCTGTGCATTAGAAACTCCTGGCAATTCTGTCTGGTAAGATTGTTCTCTCATGTTTATCACAGTTTTTGGTGAAAATTAACATTGATTTTCCATATTGATTCACGTTCATCAAAATGAAACCTTCCTTGGACATCTGGTATAAATAAACTAGTTGATCTCCTTCTATTCAACTTGAGTATTTAAAGTCTCTTTGGAAATAATTTCAAACATATAGAACATCGCCAAGCACAGAACAGAACGAGGACAATTCATTCACTCGATGACACCTTTCCCATTTGCACTGGCATCTGTGCTCTCTGCATATGCACACACCCCACCCCACACACAGCATGCACAGCACACATGTGCACACTCATGCCTACCACAAATATATGCACACACACACGCCACACACATGCACAGTGTTCTCTGACATCCAGCCCTGTGTGTGACTCCTGAGAACAGCTATGCTCCCTCTAGAAACATTGCTTCAGGACAGTGATCTCAAGTGCCACATGCTCTCTGGTTGTGTCAATGGCCCAGGGGCGTTCTTCCCAGCACCCTCTCCTCTTGGAGTCAGATGGTGCCTCTGTCATGTTGTCTTTGTGACTGACTTTTGGACAAACATAGCCCTTTCCCTCCATTAACAGCTCTGAGTGTGTCTGACACTTCATGATGATACAGGTGATTCGCCCTGGCTAAATGCCACACAGATGATGCTGTGATTTTTTTGAGGCACTGCATCAGGGGTGCAGATGCCACCACCTCAGGTGACAGATACCCATGATGCTCACTTCAATTCCTAACTGGTGTTCACCCAACTTCTACAGCAGAAGCCAAGAGGAGCTGTCAGCAGTTGACTCCTGGGCAGGTGTTAAACAAATGGGTGTTTGTGTCAAAGAGGATTCCTCTGGATCTGACTAAGCCTTTAGGCCCACTTTCTGGGTCACATGACAAACAAGTGACCCAGGACAGATCCAGAATGTGATGGCCTTTGAGACACTGCTTAGTCCCTTCCAAAAGTCAGTGTCACAGGGAAAATAGGAGTTCTGGGTCAGGAGACGCCTCAATGAACTGTATTTCCACAGATGTCCCCAGCAGCACCAGCCATCCCCTGTTATCCTCTGAACTGTGACCTGGACCTGGGACCATGGGAACCTCTCTTGTCTCTGGGACTCAGTGTAAGCACTGAGCCCCTGTCCCTGGCTTTGTCAGTTCCTTGCTGGTCAGAGCATAGGAAAGGCCCCTCGGGCCTCCTCAGATAAAAGTGATTGCTAGGACCGGAACTGTGCACCTGCTAACTCCACACATGGAATCCCTGGCCCCAAGGCATTATATTTGGAAGTGGGGCTTTCAGGAGCTAATCAAGGTTAAATGAGATCATAAAGAGCAGTCCTACTCCAGTAGTACTGGTGTCCTATGAGAGTACAATTTTAATGGAAAAGAATGATGGAGTAAAAAGTTCTGTCTATAACTCCAGGTGATTGAGAAGAGGAAGAGATCGCTCTCAAGGCTATGAGAGGACAGTGAGAAGGCAGAAGCCAGGCAGCCAAAGGCCCCACCAGAGCCAAACTGCCAGCACTTCTAGCCCCTCACCACAGAAGGTGAGTGCCAGGCTCAGTGTGTGCGGCTTTGTTACTGCACCCAGAATATTCTATTCTCTTCCTGTCCTCAAGGAAGACAAGGATGCCCACAGAGGCTCCGGGGAATCACAATATGTGAAAATACAGTGATACCTCAGTTCATGAATGCTTCTGTTTGTGAACAATTTGGTTCACAAACAGAAGCATTTGGCAAAATTTTGCTTCTGTTCATGAGCTCCATATTGGGTGACGGGACACAACCATGGCCATCTTCCCCACATAAACATGAATATGGCCATCTTCCCTGGAATTGTGGAACAAATTAAGTTCATGAAGCAAGGCACCACTGTACTCAGCCCCAGCCCCTCTGCCCACCTGTCTCAGCACAGGCCTATGGGAAGAACAGCAGTAAAAAAGTAGAATAACAGTGATGGTGAGGAGGAGGAGAACTGCTGGTGGGAATGTAAACACTTACAGCCACTATAAGAAACAGGTTGGGTTACTTATAAAACTAAGCATGTAACTACCATATAACTCAGTCATGACTATCTTGGGCATTTATCCTGGCGACATGAAAACTTACGTTCATACAAAAACTCACATGGTAATGTCCACAGAAGGTTTATTCGTAATAGCTGAAACCTGAACTCAGCCCAGATGTCCCTCAAAAGGTGAACATGACATAAATCTGCACATCCCATCACACAGATTCCTCAGCAGGAGAGAGAAACTACCAACACTTAGACTTCAAGACTCTTCAGGGAATCAGGATGTGTAAAGGTCATATTCTATATAATTTAATTCTTAGAACATTTGAAACAAGTTTTAGAAATGGAGGACAAAGTAGTGGTTGTTGGGGGTTGGGTAGGCAGGGAGAGGATGGTGTGGTCATGGAAGGGACACCAGGGACTCTGCGGTGTTGAGAATATTCAGTGTCTTGACTGTGGTGGATACAGGACTCTGCACAGATGATGACACTGTACAGAACCTGACACACATGCGCACACTAATGACTGTACAAGCGAAATTGGGGAAATCTAAACAGGATTCATGCACTGTGTCAGTGTCAGTATCGTGGCTGCGATGTTTGAGTTGTGTCCTCCTCAAGATTCACATGTTGAAATCCTAACCACAAGTACCTCAGAATGTGACTGTAATGGGAGACAGGGTTTTTAAAGAGTGACTGAGTTAAAATGAGGTCATATGAGGGGACCTAAACCAATATGATTGGTGTCTTTGCAAGAGGAGAAGGCTGGGACACAGACAGACAGAGTGACAACCACAGGAGCACACAGTGAGAGGACTAGGCAAGGACTCAGAAGAAACAGCCCTGTGACACCCGATCCCACACCTCCAGCCTCCAGCACTGAGCCACAGGCCTGTGTGCTTGTCCAAGGCAGTCCTGGGTGCCCAAGGCAGCGTTACACTACAGCTTTGCAAAATGTTGCCCCTGAGGGAAACTAAACCAATTCTGTGAGGGATTTCTCTACATTGCTTAATGCTACACATGAGTCTGCAATTGTCAATTCCAAAATTTTAATGGAAAAGAATAGTGGAATGAAAAGTTCTGGTATATAACTGTACAGCAGATTGATCGTGGATAATGATGATATACTGTACTTTCAAAAACTAGAAGAAAAGATTTTGAATGTTTTTACCACAAAGAAACGATCAATGTTTTGAGGAGTTAGATATGTTTAACTGGATTTAAACATGTGATGTATACCTGTATCCAAAAAAAAATCACATGTCATAATCCCAGCCACTCAGGTGGCCGAGGTATGGGGATTCCTAGTCCAAGGTCAGCCTAGGGAATTTAGTGAGATCTGTTTCAGAAATAAAAAATGAAAGCTGGACACGGTGGTGCATGCCTGTAATCCCAGCACTTGGGAGGCAAAGGCAGGAGGATCGTTGTGAGTTCGAGGGCAGCATGGGCTAAATAATGAGACCCTGTCTCAAAAAGGAAATAAAAAATGAAAAAGGATGAGGATGTATCTCAGTGGCAGACCACTTACCTAGCATGTGTAAGGTCCAGGGTTCAAGCCCCAGTAAAAACAAAAAAATCACATGGCATCCCATAAATATGTATAATTTTTATGTATCAGTTAAAAAATAAATTTAAGAATTGAAAGAACACCAAAGATGGCACAGCCTAGCCACATGCTCATTACTTAATAACTAAGAGGCCGATGGGCAACCCACTTGCCGGTACCCCTTCTGTCTCTCTTAGGCAGAAGCTGCCTTTCTCCCAATAAATTTTTCCTACTCTTTTTTTTTTTTTAGTACCGGGGGTCAAACTCGGGTCCTTGCGCTTGCGCAGCAGGCGGCGAAACCACTGAGCTAAATCCCCGGCCCCTAGCCCATGTATTCTTAACTGTTTCTTTGGCTTTTGTTTCCTCCAGACTCCAAGCGATAAGACTACCCAAGATGACAAGGCCTGTCGCCTATCGAAGGCCTTTAGATAGACCCTCTGTAGAGTAACACTGACTGCTGATCACAACTAGGACCCTCTTTAGCCAGAAGTAGCCAGACTGGTCTTCGCCCTTTTGCCCCCTTGCAGCAGTTAGGGGTACTTCTTCACAGGGGGGAATATTACAGATATGTATGTTAATTAGATATCTTGTAGGCAATTAAGACAGGACCTCCCTTAAGGCACCAGCCCTCCAGGAGCCAACACAGCAAGGAGCCAACATAGAGAACTGAGGCACATTCACTGGTTAGCATTATAAAAAGGAAAAGAAGTGTTACTTCCCCTAGAGATAGATAGCAGTGATTGATATTCTAAATGGGAAATTCCTTGTATGTGATTTGTCTTCTCATTTGATTCCCATTTAATCGATATTACCTGGGTGACTGTACTTGTGATCTTATTGGTTGGTCATGGTTTTGTCCCACCTCATGTCCACCTTGTAAATTTCCATTGGGTCTTATAGTTTCGTCCCACTTTGTACCTGCCTCACCACATGGCTTTGCTGTATAAAACATCTTTGAACTGTGGGGTGGGTGGGCAACCCACTTTCTGGTCCCCCTTCTGTCTCTCTTAGGCAGAAGCTTTCTTTCTCCCAGTAAATTTTTCCTACTTTAAAAAAAAAAACTAAGAGGCCCAGCACAGATGGCAACTGCCTGGGGCAGAGGCAGAACTGTGGGGTCCGTGCCCATGCAGTGGGAAGGGCCTTCACACATAGGTTAGGACATGGGTCAGACAGCAAGTGAACAGGCTGAGTGTGATGGAAACCAAATGCTCACGGTGGGAGAAATGGTCAGAGATAGCTAAGATCATCCCAGTGATGTGGGGTGGGAATGAGTTTGAAGTCATAGATTTTGTGTGGCAAGATGCATAAACAGACTTCACATGCATGTGTGCATGCATGTGAACACATGTCCTGCAGCTGGATCCACTGAGCATGCCTAGAAATAGCACAGCCCAGGACAAGGGGCACAACCACTGCTCTCTGGAGAAATGGTGGTTTCAGGGCTGGGGCTAAGGAATAGCAGAGGAAACCGGGATGTCCTGGGGCCACCAGAAAGGAAGGAGGTGCTGGGAGAATGCTTAGGACCTTTCAGAGGGCAGAGAAGCCACTGTGGTAGGGCTCCCATGTTGGAGTATCACTGCGACTGCAGCTGGTAGTGGATTGTAACACTGAGTAGTAATAAAGTGGGATAAATGAACAAATGGCAAGAAGAAAGCGCTTCCTTACAGGAGAATGCCAATTAGCAAAAGTGACCAACTGGCTGCCATCATAATCACAGTGACTCCACCAAAAAACCAAAGGATGCTGCAATTCATAGGGGAGGGTTTGAAGAACAGGACACTGACAGTATCAGAGTCCCTCCCCATATTACAAAGAGGGAAACAACTTGCTGCGGGGAGGCCCAGCTCATTCCTCCTCACCCAGGCAGTCACTGTGGCAACCACCAGCAAAAGGGCAGTCTACTCTGTTCCCAAGAGGATGACACAGGACACGCTATAACTTCTGAGTTGTTCCTGCTGAGTCACAGGGAACATCAGGCAAGCCCAAATGGAGGGTTGTCCTACACAGAAGCCACCAGTAGCCTTGCAAACCTTGAGGCCCTAAGAACCAAGGACAGACCAAGGGCAACACAGCCACATGTGATCCAACGATGTAGATGCCAGCAGATGGCCTTCCTGATTATGAGGGGAGCTGGGGGCTGGCAGCTCACTCTCAAATCTTTTTTTTTTTGGTACCAGGGATTGAACTCAGGACCTTGTGCTTGCTAGGCAGGAGGGATGCCACTGAGCTAAATCCCTGGCCCCAATCTCAAATCTTTTAAGGAAAAGTTCGCTACTCCCCATTTTGTAAGTGTAAAACTTGTGGCATAGTAATGGGGGCAGTGGAGCTGGGTCATGCCAGGGTCAATACCTGACCTGGATGCTGAGCTGCTCGTCCATTTCAAAGCAGACCTTCTCCTTGTCTCTCTTCAGAGCCTCAATCTCCTGCCTATTGAAGAAGCACAATCAACAGTGTCACTCGGGAGCACTCAGCATCTTTCTTCCTGGCTGCCTGGGCCATAGTGGCTTGGATCTTCAGCCACAAACAGACTGGGCACTGCCTTCCCAGGTGCCTGCCGCTGCTGTCACAGTGAGGAGTAGGAGCATCTGACAAACGTATCAGTGAAAAAGTAAATCCAATTTTAAAAATAATGAAAACCTCAAAGAAAAAGACACATCCCCATGTACATCCCCATTATAATTTGGGGAGCATTCCAACCCCAAATCAGGGGGATCTAGGATTGTAAAGCTGCTGATTTGTAGAGAAGTACTACGTTGACAGTATTGTAAGGACAAAGCCCTTGTGACATTCTTCAGTCACACAGTTATACAGGCTTTTTTTTTTTTTAAACAAAATAGGCAACGATTCCCAGTAGCAGCATGAAGACCATGCAGTCTCACATCTGCTGAGGTTGGTGCTCTGCAGGGCCCTGGTAGTGCATTCAAGGGAAGAGTGATTTCAGTTGGATCCAGGAGTTGCTAAAATGTAACAGCAACTGTGCTGATTCTATAGACACCACTGCAATTCTACCCAATCAGAACCACATCCTCAGGATTTCAGAGCTGAGTTCATATTAAAACAGGCTAAAAAAGACAAACTGTCCCTGGAGATGGCTGCAGCAGTGATGGCAGAAAGCCACCCCCAACCCACTCCCCTTCCAGGTGCAGATCCCTGCCTGCTCGACCTCGCTGTGGCCCCAGCCCCTCTCTGCCCAGGACCTGCCTCAGCTCTGCCTCACTGACATATCTACACTGCCAATGACCCTGGGGAACGGCATAGCTGGAATATTATCGGGATGTTAACAAGCAGACTGCTTGCTAAGGGGCTCCAGCAGCAGCCCAGTCCCACGAAACACTGTGCGCCCCACGATGCGGCCAGGGCCCTCTGTAAGGCTGGTTCTGGGGCCATCCGTGCTGTGTCTGCCTGTGGCCCTGTGCACATGCTCTGCCTCCACATCCAAGACCAAGGCACGGGAATGAGGGTGCCCACCCACGGTGGGAAGAGGCCAGGCTGTGCTTCTTGGTCTGCTCAGATATCAGCATGCCCACCATGCAGGCCTCTGGACTGAGGGCAGATCTGCCTCTCCCTGTATGTCACAGGCCCGAAGGTCCAGATGGCCTGAGGAGATGGGCCTTACCTCTGCATGTCACTCATGTGCTCTGCAGCTCCAAGTTTCTGCTGAATCCTCTCCAGATCATTTTTCAACAAACCGTTTTCTTCAGAAAGCCTCTGAAGCTCCTCCCTATGAAATTGTGAAAAGCCTGGTGAGGCTCAGCCTGGCTCTGCTGCTGGAGGCTCTGGGCACCACGACCATTCCATTCTCCAGAGGAAGCATGGACCCTGCCTTCTCCTATGGTGACACACTGTACTCTGGCCCCTCCACAGAAAGCATGGCTCTCGCAGCCTCTAAACTGCATGCTGGTGGTGGCTCACCATGTTTCAGCACCTGGGCTTCGTCACTCTGTCCACAGCCGGCCCATGGGAGGTCCAGCTACTCACACTGAGTGCTCAGGACAGCTCAGGACATCCAGCTCCTGTCCACAGACTACAGCAGAGCCAGCAGAATAGGAGCCAGAGCCCAGAGTACACGAGCACCATCCTGCATCCAAGGCCAGCCTGGAGAGGGGAAACTGAGGAAGGGACCACACCAAGCACAGAGACACAGGGTGGTCCTCATAAGGGCAGAAGCAGGAGTGACCAGGCAACATGTGACCCATTTGCCAGCTGCTCTGCCTTCTGACAGTTAATCTGTGGAGGTGGCACTGTCACTGTTCTTAAGGTAAATGGGCCTGGCAGACATTTATACCTCCCACCCATGGTCTCTATCTGGCTTTATCTTCTTAGTTTTTAAACCTAGAAAAACCCAAAGCCACATGTTTTCTTCATGTTCATTTTATGCACTGTGCTTATACTAAGCGTAAGTATCTCCTTTATATGACTTCCTTTAACTCTTGAGAAACTAAAGAAAAAAAAAAGAAATAGAAGTCAGTGGAATTTTAAAAGCAGTTTCAAGCAGGGGAAGGAAACACATGAGACCTGTGTTTTGAACTATTGCTGGGTCACTTCCTGGAGCCCAGATGGCTGCAGGTCCCTCTCCAGCCCTGCACTCAGCACCCAGAGCCTGCACAGGGCCAAGTGCATAGTGAGCCAATATCCTCACAGAAAGCAATGGAACCCTCCAAGGCACAAAGAAAACAGAGATCTGGAAGCTGACCAAGAAGCCAGACAAAGCTGGGTGACCCTGAACCAGAGCCTACATCAGTGCCATCATCGGCAAGGCAGAGAGGCTGCACCATGGACATCTGCTTTTTGCCCACCTACTCTGGATTCTGCAACCAAGCATGGTGTCACACACCTGTGGTCTTAGTTATTCAGGGGGCTGAGGCAAGAGGATGAAAGTTTAAGACTAACCTGGGCAACTCAAGGAGACCCTGCCTCAAAAACATTTTTTTTTTTTGAGACAGGGCCTTGGCATGTAGTTCAGGCTGATTTTGAACTCACTATGTAGCTCAGGCTGCCCTCAATTTTTCAGCAATCCTCCTACCTCAGCTTCCTGAGTGCTGGGATTACAGGCATGTGCCACCATGCCTGGCTCAAAACAAAACTGAAAAAGGGTGGGGGAAGTAGTATCTCAGTGGTAGAGCACTTATCTAGCATGTATGAGGTCCTGGGTTCAATTCCCAGTATCATTAAAAAAAATTCCCAGCAATTCTATCAAATCAGAATCACACCTAGACAGGCAGGCCTGGAAAAGAATTTCTAGGGGTCCTAGTTGAGCACCTCCTCAATTCTCTCCAAGAGCAATATAAACCATTTTGCAGAAAAGCATTCCCTATTAAGGCTGCCAAGATTCCCAGAGATTAACATCAACTAAGCGGGAGCTCACAGTCAAAAATTATCCACATACATGAAAAAGCTATCCATGAGAGACAACAGAAGCAAAACCAAAATAGAGACAAAAACAACTAAACAAGGAAAAATGCAGAATTAGATACTCTAGGAACTTCAGGTATTGGAATTATCAGAGATAAACTAAAAATATTATTAAATATTTATATAAATAAAAGATGGAAATTAAAGAAAAACAAAAAGAAATCACCAATGATCAGATGAGACCAAACAGAAGTTTTAGAAATAAACAAAAAGAGGGCCGGGGATTTAGCTCAGTGGTTACACTACCTGTCTCTAAAATGCAAGGACCCAAGTTCGATCCCCAATACCAAAAAAAAAAAAGAGAAATAAACAAAAAGTAAGTATCAATAAAAACTCACTGAATGGGTTGAGCGAAATTAGACAGAGCTGAAGGAAGAAACAGCTGGGTCAGTGACGTGAGAATACAATGAGGTGGGGACAAAAACACCTAGCATATGCCACAGAGAGAAGAGAAGATGGGAAATATGAAAGAGCAGTTGGTAAATGGAGAACGTGAAACGTCCTAACATTTAGGGGCCGGGGATTTAGCTCAGTGGTTTCGCTGCCTGCTGCGCAAGTGCAAGAACCCAAGTTCGATCCCTGGTACAAAAAAAAACAACAACAAAAAAAGTCCTAATATCTAGCTGTAGAGCTCAGTGGGTGGAGACACACTACTTTAACAGCAACGGTGGAGGGTTTCCTAACACACCAATCCACATGCGCAATTGAACATGTTTTCTAAGCAGGAGAAACAAAAAGAAAACCATGCCTTTTGCCACAACTGAATAACTCTATTCTGAGGTACACGCTAACATCAATGTTCCAAAAAACAAGTACAAAACATTTACTGCAGTAGTGACAGCCCCAAAATGAAACTACTCAAATGTCCATCAACAGGAGAAGAAAAGTAAATTGTGGTCTATCCACACAAGAGACTCCTACCAGCAATGCAAATGAATGAAGTGTAGCTCAAGCAAAATAGGGACGCATCACAAATGGGCTGACCCTGGACAGATGCAGACGTGTATGCATCATGTTTCCTTTATAGAAAGTACAGGATTAAGCAAAATCAGTCTCTGCAGTCAGAGGTCCGACTAGCAGCTGCCCACAAGTGACAGCTTTCATGAGCTGTTTCTTGTTCTGACTGCTGCAAACACAAATGTGTTCAATTGCTGAAAATTCTTCCAACTGCATATGTATATAACACTAACAAAAAGCTAAAAAGAATGTAAAATACACACCAAAAGGGGAAAAACAAACAAACAAAAAAACACCAGCAAGGGAGAAGATTGTAGAATCAGCCAGAGAACTGAAGTCAGATCCTGACTCTGGTGGAGAGAGGGGCGCCACTGCCTCTGAGGGAGTCCATGCCCTGCCCCTCAGAACCTGTGAGCATGTTCCATTATGCAGCAGAGGATGCTGGGTCTGAGAGGCTCCATGTCATCTCCAGGGTCCTCAAGAGCAGGAAGGAGGGGGGAAGAGAGTCAGCTCAGCACCACATGACGTTGGAAGGCCTGGCCTCACCACCTTGACTACCATCGAGATTGGGGTGCAGCTTAGTGCTGAGCATTTGCCTGGCAACACAAGGCTCTGGGTTTGATTCCCAGTCACTGACGAGAGAGAGAGAGAGAGAGAGAGAGAGAGACTGATTGACTAATAGACTCTTTTAGCTGAAGTTAGTGTTCACTAGAAAAATGATAACTACATGCATAGCATAATCCTTGATTGGATCTGGGGACCAAGGAGTGATCCAGAAATAATACACTGGAACAGCCCGGGAGATTTGAAAGTGGAGGGCACATTAAACACCAGCACTGTGGGCTGGGGTGCAGGTCAATGTGAGTGTCTAGCCAGCATGGGTGAGGCCCTGGGTTCCATCCCCAGCACCACAAAAGAAAAAAAAAAAAGACCACTCTAGTAATGTTAAATTTCCCATTTGTGATAACAATATTGCAGAGATAACAATATTATGAAAGAGTATCTGCTCTTACAAAATAACATACAGGCTGGGGATTTAGCTCAGGGGCACTGCACCTGCCTTGCAAGTGCAAGGTCCTGAGTTCTATCCCCGGTACCGGAAAAAAAAGAAAAAAGGAAAAGCAAAACAAAACAACAACAAAAAAACCCCCAAAACCAAAAACAAAATAACATGCATAAGTATTTATCGGTAAAATATCATGTCTCAGATGATTCCAAATGATTCAGGACAAAGAGTGTGTGGAAGAAGAGACAGCGAAGTCAGGCCATACTCAGGCTATTCTCTTCACAGTAGCTCCACCCTCTCTAGACTTGGCTTTCTCCTCTGATAATGGTCCTGACTCTTGCCCAGCTGGGGCACTGAGACTATGGGGCTGGGGGAGGGGTTCCCTGCCTATCTAGAAGAGGCTGGGGACAGAGCAGGAGGCGGGGGTAGCCCAGCATGGGCTGGGGGTGCCAAGGCCTGGGGTGCCACCCAGCTGCCAGGTGCCAGTGCCCACACTGTGTCCACTTGTAGAAGGCCAACCACACCTGCAGTGGCCCCAAAGGACATGCATGGCACCATGCCCACCATTCCCTTCCTTGTCATAGCAGGACCAAAGCTTCAGGGATGGGGTGATCTGGATGCCCAAGCAGTGAGAACAAGCTCCATATATAAGGGGTGCCTTCCCAGAGGCAGAAACATCAGGATGGGCATGCGCAGACCTTGGACAGCAGGGGCAGAGGGCAGGCCTGGGGTGTGGGGGCTTCCAGTCAGTCACTGGTGCTCCCTGCCTTCAGCTGTGTGGTGTGCTCAGTTACTCCTCTGGTTTACTATAAAATGCACATCTCTGTTCCTAGGTGCTGGTGCTGGAACCTGGGGCATCACATGTGCTGAGCAAGGTCTCCTGCAGAGCTGCACCCCAGCCCATGCTCCCACAAGCATGTCCTCATCACTCATCTGTGACCACAGATGTCACCACCTGGACCAATGACATGACAACCTCCTTGAGAGTGAATGCATAGTGTGCTGTACAGGGACCAAAGCCAGCACACAAGGGCATCACATGATCGTCAGTGTCCACACTTGTGACAGAACACATGGCACCTGTGTCCCCCAGGAGATGGGGCAGGAGATGCTTGGGTGCACACTTGGGCACCTGGCCAACAGACCGACATCTGCAGCAGCATCTCCAGCCCCTGGGGCACTCTGTGCCCTCACATCCCAGGCTAGCCCAGGACATGGGACCCAGATGCCCTTTCCAACCACAGCTCCTCTACATTGCCCTCTGCCAGCCTGGGAGCTGCTGGGCCCTGTGTCTCCATGCTTGGTACATAGATCAGGCCACAGTCCCTCATCTGCCTCTCAGAGTCAGCAGGAAGAGGGCTATAGCCAGCTCAGGACCACTGTGGGACCCCCATGCACAGTCCCTGTCCTTATAAGACCAGAGGCAGGGACAGAGGGTGCTTGTGGTGCCTGCACAGTGAGCACCATGGCCAGCATGGCAGCCTGAGACAGTTGGTGGGGAAGGAGCACGCGGGAGTCAGGGGCAAAAGAGCCTGGTGGGTCTAGTTCTGCATTTAAGACTGGGAGACCAATCCTGGCATGCTGGCACATGCCTGCAATCCCAGTATTCTGGGAGGCTGAGACAGGAGGATTACAAATTCAAGCCCACCCCTGGCAAATTAGTGACTTAGCAAGACCCTGTCTCAGGGGCAAGGAAAATAGATCAGTGTGAAGGCCCTGGGATCAATCTCCGGTACTGGGGGTGGGGTGGGTGGGTGACGGAAGCCCACACCTGTCATTCTCTCTAGAATCTGCTTCTCTCTTGAGAGCCCGGACAACATCTTCCAGCTGCAGAAGTTTGGTTTTCATGTCATTCTTCTCTCTCTCCACCATATCTGCTTCAGTTTCCCCTGCTGGGTTTGGGAACTCAGGTGTGGTCCCAGGACCTGAGTGGTGCTGGAGCCAGGTCTGCAGGGCACCATCTTCTCCTGTACCCCGCGAGGGCAGCTCCTGGACATCAGGCCAGCTTGGGCTCACTGTGGCCCTTGCAGAAGGTGCTGGCTCCTCAGGATCAGCCCCCTTGTTCTGCCCAGGTGCCTGTATGGGTGGCCCCTTCTCAAAGGGGACAGAAGCTGTCTCCTCTGCATCCATCAGACCCCAGCAGCTCTGTTCATGGTCAAGGCTCTCTGGCAGCCCTCTGGACACAGCATCTGTACAGCAGGGCTGGCCAGGCCCATCTCCCACTGGCTCCCACGTTCCTCCATGGATGTCTAGGCATGGGGACATGGGTATGGGTGCCCCCTGCTGCTCCTTGTCCGTGGTTGCTGCAGCTCCGCCTTGCAGCAGGACCCGCAGTGCCTCTGCCTCCTGGACCAGGCTCCCCACCTGCTCGCGGTGGGCACGCTCCAGCCTCTTCCTCTCCAGGGCGAAGGACCTGCACATTTGTGCCTGCTCCTCACCCAGGGCCACCTGCAGCCTCTGCTGCTGCTCCTGGCAGCGCACGAGTACCTCCTCCTCCCGCCGCAGGTGGACCTGCTGTAGCCGGTCCTTCTCGAGCTGGTGCCGCAGCACCAGGCTCTTGCAGTGTATGTCATGCTGAGACAGCATCCGGCTCAGCTCCTCTGCTGCCTCCTGCCTGCGGAGAAACCATGCATCACACACCTCACTCCCCTGCAAGGTTTTCACTCTCCTGCCTAACGACTGGCTCCCAGCTGCCTGGCTACATCTAACCTTGTGTCCCTGAGCTCAGGGCCTTTGTCCATCCTGGGACCTTTCTTTAGAGTCCCATAGGATCTGACCCTGAGGTAGGGTTCTTCATGGGTTCCAGGCACCTCAGAAGCCATAAGCCACAATGATGGCTTAAAGGTACAGGGAACACAGTGACACAGAATTAAAGTTCTGTCCCACAGTCCAGAGCAGGGCACTGGCCTTGAGTCCCTGAGCAGCCATAGCTGGACTGCCCTGCCCTCCAGGCCTGTCCCTCAGCCACTGCAGGGGCCTGCAAGGGCACAGGCTGAGTCCCTTCCACCTGCTCTTGGGTTTAAATGAAAAGAACTCAGGACAAGCACAAAACTCAAAAATGACATCTCTTATAGGTCCAAGAGGCTGATGGTCAGTCCTCATAGCCCCATGGCCTGTGTGTCCCTTGGGGTGGGCAGGGGGTGCTGATTCCTCCCCATCAGAGTCCCTCACACTCAGGCCACCCCAATTCCCCTGACCAAGAAGAGCATCTCCCTCATCCCAGTCAGGGCCACAGCCAACCAGGAAGGTACTGTGGGCACCTAGCCCTGGCTAGGGGAGGCCCTGGTCCTTGGGCCAGTAGTGTGTCCCCGAGCAGCCTCACACCTCCTTCAGGCCAGCCTAAGGGATGGGGCAGGTGGCATTTCTCAATAACTGTAACACACAAGAACACATTCTGGAATCAGGTTTGGTGGTGCACACTTGTAACCCCAACACTCAGGAGGCTGAGGCAGGAGGATAGCCACAAGTTTGAGGACAGGTTGGGCTACACAGTGAGTTCAAGGCCAGCCTGAATTGCACAGCAAGATCCTGCCTCAAAAAATGAAAAACAAACAAAAAGAATACTCTAGTTTTTCAAATAAAACTTTTTTGTGGTTGGTACAAACTTCTGAGCCTTTTCAAGGAACCTCACTAACCCAAGTTAACTGTCTTTCCCCTTTTGGGGCTTTTGGCTTGTTCTAGTCTCCCTACCTGCATGTGCCATGTCCTGGAAACTGAATGCAGGAAATGATGGCGGCCAGGACACCTGCCTGGCACAGCAGAGTTTAAATGTGTCACAGCAAGCTGCTGTCGCCCGTGCTGTTTCATGCACGTTTCCGATTCAGCGCAATGACTCTAGGAGGCAATTGTTCCTTTACCCTCATCCCTGCCAGGCAGCAAATGCCATCGTGGGTTCCCAGCAGGAAACCCGGGCCCAACCCGCTGAGTACAGACCTGATCTGCCGCAGCTCGCCCTGGTGCTGCTGCCACATGTGTTTGTCCAGCTGCTGGGCCAGGTCACAGAGCACCGGTGCGCAGCAGGAAGTCATTGCGGCCCATGAGGCCTCAGGGCCACCTGCAGCGGCTCGCAGCTGCTCCCGCAGGCCCAGGATGACCTCCTGCGACGTAGCGCACAGCACCTCCAGGTCCGCTCTCCGGGCTTCCAGCACTGTGACCTCCTGCTGCCGCGCCTGCTCTAGCTCCATCCTCTCCTTCTCAAAGTTGTTCTTCATGGCCTCGATTTCCCGCTCATAGGAATTTACCTAAAGAGAAACAAGAGCAGCACTAACTCACAGGTCCTGGAAGTGACTGACTGGCAAGACAATGCAGAAATGAGTGGCGTCTTCAGGACATCCAAGCCCGGCGACTGCCCAACAAGCAGACACATGAATGACAGCAATGCTCTGGGGACCCAGTGTGACTTCACAATGACCCCTCAGTAGAGGTGGAAGGGCAGGTGGCAGGAGGAGGGCAGAACATGTGATAACCGTGAGGCTGAGGGCCTTCATTGGTCCAGTGGGCTGATGGGTGATGGTGAGGGGGAGCATGGGATCCTGGCACAGGCAGCAAGCCATCAGGGTTCCTGTCAGCCCATCTGACAGGACAGAGGTGGCTTGGCAAATCTGCTGAGCTGTACAGACAGCAGGCCATGGATGCTGCCCCTTAACCTCTCAGGAGCCCAACAACTGAGCGGGAGACACATTGGTCTAGGAGGCTCTGGCCACGGGGCTGAAGTCCTCACCCAGGCACTTGGGCTCCAGCACAATTTACCCTGGGCTCAACCTGCTCCCTCCCCATGACCATTATTTCTTTCGTCTTTCCTGAGCAAGAGGCCTGCATGCAGCCAGTGGTACTGGACCCTGACCTTGGCCTCCAGCTGGGTCCTGAGCTCCTGGCAGTGCTCCCGCATCTGCTCCACCAAGATCTCCGTTTCTAGACTCACTGGACTGGAGTCGTCCACGTATACACCTGCAAACAAGAGGATACCCTACTTCTATCATGCTGAGGACAACCGGGGCCCTACCAGACTCTCTAGTCAGGTCTGCATGGAATCTGTCCTTGCTGCCTGATGACGGATGAGGCACCAGTCCATGTGCAGTGTCTGGAAAGTTATGCCCCCAGAATCAGCAGCTCGAGTCTTTACCACGACCGACAGAACCAGGAAGCTCCCCACAAGGTCCACCAGGGATCTAAGTCCCAAAGGTGGCTGTAAGCTGGACACTCACTGCACCTGGAATCTGGCTCCCAACAATGCCAAGTGCAGAGAAAACGGGTCAATGGTACAAGGTGGCTGTGCTCAGCACCCTAAGGGTGTTCTCCAAATGCACATGCAGAACCTGGCTGTGGAGTCTGTATTTTCTGGGCATCCTGCATTATTATCTCAATACCACACGTTGCCACTATACCCTGGTGGGGACACTGGCAGGCCAGAACTCAACTCGCAGAGCTGAGGGAGTCTGCACCCAATCCTGGGCTCCTGACAGGCCATGTGGGACGAGGGAGCCACTGCCACCTGCCCCTATGACCAAGCTGTGCTCCTAGCGGCAGGTCACACACAGTAGGATCTTCAGTGACTATGCACCAGCCCTGTCCTCTCTGGGATAACAGGACAACCTCACTTCCTGAGCTTAACAGGGACTGGTGGCAGGAGGGAGCAGCCTTAGGGCCCCCAAATATGGGCCCCACTACGTCACTTGGGTCCCATCCTGGTCCTTCTGGGCAGTTTCTTTTTATTAAGTAAGTGGCTTTAGAGCAATGTGGAAACCCCAACTGCTCTCAATTACCACGAGACCACAGGGTTCTCAGAGAGTCAGGGCTGCCACTACTGGTGGTGGAGGAGAGAGGTCAGGGTCTGGGTCTCCACAGTGACCACCCCATACAGCCAGCAGGAAAGCTGAGACACCCAGGCAACCTATCCTGCAAGGGGACCACAGCAAACCCCAAGGCCCCCAACCATGTCTCCAGAGGAGCCAAGGATACCACACCATGGCCCTCAGCATTGGTCCCGACTCCTCATCTGAGAGGGGAGACTGAGGTGTGGACTCTGCACACAGGCAGGGGACTCCCTCAGGGAACACAGGACACTGTCCCTGCCTCCCTACATGGCCTTTTTCATGCCCTTGATGGACACTGTCCCACCCTGGAAACCACTGCAGGCAGACGCATACCCCAAGGTCACTGTGACCTTCCTTCTATAAACCCTCCTCTCCTCTACCATCTTGGTCCCCCTGCTGGGCGAATGCCCAGCCTTGGGCCACCCCTGTGAGCCCATCCCCACCTCACCTTGTGGGGCTCCTACCTGCTGGGTGGTGTCCAGCGTCCCCAGCAGGGCATTGCCAACTCTGACTCTGGGGTAGTCGCGCCTGCAGGCTCTCCAACTCAGCCTGCAGCTCATCGTTCTGGTCCTGCAGGTCCTGGGGGCAGAGCAGACATCTCCTCCAGGGCTACAGCTACCAGCTGGCTTGGTGCAGCTCTGTCCCCAGGGAGCATCCCCGTGGGACAAGCAGGTGGTGACACTGGACTCCTATGTCACAGCTAAGCAGCATAGTCATTGTTGACTTTCTTTTGCCCTGCATTGTATGAATGCAGATGGAGTGGACAGAGGGAGATATGGAAAACATCCAGACCTGAACAACAGATGCTTTGCTTAGAACCAAGTAATCTAGGAAGGATGGGAACACATAGGGAAGCCACAGGGTGACCACTTCTGGACCTGGAGACTGTAAAGGATGACCTCAACCCAGAAGCAGTGAAGATTAGTCAAACACCTGCGCTTGGTCCCTGAAACCCTTCCCTGTGGAAGGGACCAGGGCTCTTTGGAGAAACTGGATTTCAGACAAGCGTAGGCTAGGCCTACAGTGACAGGAAGGCTGGTACCACCTGCCCAGAAAGAGCAGCAAGTGACAGGACTATCCCAGGATGCAGCAGCCGGCTCGGATGCACTCACTGCCAAATCCTGCACAATCTGGGCACCAAAATCACTAAGCACACAAATAAAATGTAAACCTGGGGGGGGGGATGGGAATTCATGGGTCCACTTCAATGACAGACACAGGTAAGCCTTCTCTAGTGATGGCAAAAGACCAATGGCACTACAGATGGGGCACTGGCACTGGAAAAACCAGCACTTTCCAACCATCATTGTAAAGAATAAACCGGACAAGAATCATCAAGGATTTTGTTGATAAGCAGGAAACTTACATGGCCACAAAGTGTCCCCCTGCTGACTGCTCATCAGCACAAGGAGAAAAACCCAATCATTACATGTTGTGGAAACTGGCAACACCAGGTGATCAACAACACAAATGAGGGCTGGTGGACACTACCTGCCCTCCCAGTGACCAGCGGAGGAGGCCCAGCCTCTGCTGAATCAAAGGCAATCACCCATGACTACAGCTCACAGCAGTCTATTACAGGTATCTCAAAACAACCAAAGTGAGGACAAAGAAGTGGTAAATGTTTGAGGGAGTGTAAATGTTAATTACCTTGATTTGGTCTTCCCACACTGTAAACATGTACACTGTCCCCTTAAGAATGTTCAATTATATGTCAATTACACAATTTTAAAGCTGAGAATGGTAACACATGCCTGTAATCCCAGTACTCTGGAAGGCTAAGGCAGGAGCTCAGCATGGGCAACTTAGCAAGACCCTGTCTCAAAATAAAAAAATAAAAAGGGCTGGGGATATAGCTCACTTTGAGGCCCTAGATTCAATCCCCAGCTGGAAAAACAAACAGGAAAACACACACACACACACACACACACACACACACACACACACACTCTCACACAAATCCACAAAATGATAAAGTTTCTATGAAAAAACAGGGAGATGGAGGAGGGTCTGTAGTCTTCAAAATAATGTCCTAAAAGACAAAGGCAGGCTGTGGGAACGTTTCAGAGGGACAGGACAACTAAATGCTACCAGGTTCTGGGCGCCTCCTGTCTTGGAGAGAAGATGCCCCAGGAGGACATCAGGTGAAAGTGTTCCTCTGGGCTCTGTCCTCCATGTGGCTCCGCCCTCCACGTTTAGCAGGATGCTGGGGGCTCCTCTCCAGAAAACACTCCCCACTTGGTAGCTTTTGCAAATTTCTATGGTGTAAATTCTCTCACCATAGCCAATTTAAAGCTACCAAAATTTTTAAAAGCAGCTGACAAAATTTCTGAACATTTAACAATCTACTTGGCTGTGCAGATTGCCCCCTCCTCAGCACTGCAGGAGTTCAGAGGCCTCCTCCAGGAAGTGCACCCTCCAGGGCTCAGGGCAGAAATGCCTGTGTACATGCATGCACGCACACACCCATCACCCAGTGTGCAAGCAATATGGTAAGTGGGGAGCCTGAGCACAGGTGTGCAGGTGCTCACTGTACTATTTTTATGTTTGTAGCTTTAAGCTTGAGATTACTTTTAAACAAAAGATTTTTTAAATGGTCTAAATGTTAGTTGGAAACAACCAAGAATATTCCCAAAATACGTTTTGTGTTTTTTTTGGTACCGGGGATCAAACTCGGGCCCTTGAGCTTGCGCAGCAGGTGGCGAAACCACTGAGCTAAATCCCTAGCCCATTCCCAAAAATATGGAAAGGGGAAGTTTCTAAAATAAGTAAGTTTGCACAAAAATGTAAAATATGTCTGTTATGTCCAAAAAATAAAATTTCAAGAATCAAGAATAGCAGAGTTGGGGCTGGAGATTTAGCTCAGTGGTTCCGCCACCTGCCTCTCAAGAGGAAGGACCTGAGTTCGATCCCCAGTACCAAAAAAAAAAAAAAAAGAATAGCAGAGTCAAGTTGAAGGAGTTGACATTTGTTTGAGAAACCCACACAGTTCTAGGTTCTGAGTCTTCTCAGCAAGTTCAAGGGAAGGAGAAAACAGCCTATGACCAGACCCCTGCTGCTGCCCAGCTTGCTGCCAACATGCTAGCTGAGTCTACAGGGAGGGTGACACACGAGCCACCTGGGATCTCACAAGGGAGAACCAGTGCAGAGGGAGAGGATGAGGCACCCAGGGCCAGGGTCAGCTTTGAGGATGGATGGTTCATCCACAATATCTGCTCAAATTTTTTTTTTTTTTGTTTTTATTTTTTATTTTTTTATTTATTTTTTGGTACCGGGGATTGAACTCGGGACCTTGCGCTTGCAAGGCAGGCACTGGAACCACTGAGCTAAATCCCCGGCCCTCTGCTCAATTTTTAAATCATACAAAATTACTTTATGACTATTAATGCCCTTAACAGTGACCATAATATCTCCCCAGAAATAATTAGATTTTCAGCAGGAGGTGATTTGGGGTAAAACCTGGTGGACAACTTACAGTAGAAACCATTCAATGCAACTACACCAGCTGTCCACCCCATCTCCACACAGACTGTGAACACCACAGAGCCTAACCATGCTGCTGGACAAGTACAGACCAGGGTGCTCGCCTTGGAAATGTCAATCATAATTATTACTATAGCAAATTTGCAGGAAAAAATAAATAAGTGAACAGGAACTTTTATTGACCTCCTTAGATTTTTCTTATTTTTATCAGTGGGGGTTCCTATAAAGAGGTTTTGTTTTGTTTTGTTTTGTTTTGCTTTTTATCTTGTTTTTGGTGCTGGAGATTGTACCCTGGGCCTCATAAATGTTAAGTATGGACTCTGCCACTGAGCTACACCTTCAGCCCACTGTCTGGGCTTTTAAATGGCTCTAATCTGAGGATGTGTATTACTTCTCCTTGGTCATTTGGCAATGTTGCCTATGCAGGATTTCACATCTAAAAACATTCCACATTTCTACCAGCACTATGCAGTATTCTACTAAGTCACTGGCAAGACAATCTTCACCAGTCCCCCGGAGCATGTGGCTCTTTCCAGTTTCTACCATTCTAGCTTCTGTGGATACAACCTTCTTAACACCGAGGATGACAGAGGGGCAGGTGAACCAAGGCGGGGATTGATTAATTGATTGATTTATGGTACGGGGGATGGAACTCAGGACCTTACACTTGGCCAGGCAGGTACAGTGCTATTAAGCTACATCTCCAGCCCCAGAGATTTTTTTTTTTTTTTTTTTTTTTGGTACCGGGGATCGAACTTGGGACCTTGAGCTTGCAAGGCAGGCAGTGGAACCACCGAGCTAAATCCCCAGCCCTGGAGCTTTATTTTTTGAGATGAAGTCTTGCTATGCTGCCCAGATTGGCCTCCAATTCCTGGGCTCGAGTGATATTCCTGCCTCAGTTTCCTGTGTAGCTGGGACTATAGGTGCACACCACCAAGCCCAGCTTCAAGGGTGAAGGTTTTTGATGGTGCTTATCTTTAACCACACAATCACTCTGCAAAAAAAGGTTTCTTCCCTGGTACCAAAAAAAAAAAGGTTTCTTATGAGTTTTATATAAATTAACTGGTAAATTAAATCCTAACCAGGAGTGACTAATAAGAACTGTAGGATAAATTACTTTATAAATAAAAGAATATTTCTGTATTGTTAATAACCAGCCCAACTCAACCCTGGTTTGCTTGTTTAGTTTTCTTCCTGTACTGAAATGTTTTTAAGAGGACTTATCCTGGATACAGAGCCGGAGATCCTCACGCTGTTTGAGTCAGCAACCCTTGGGCTGGGGACAGCCTCAGTCAGCAGGTCTGGCTAGAACAAATCCTTCTGCTAACCTCACTGAACCACCCTGCAGGAACACAGAGTCTGCCCACCCAGGAGGGAGAGGGACGAGGCCCCACAATGCCACACTGGTGTGAGCCAGGCAACCCCAACAGCCTACTGTGTTGCCTGTCGCTGGGGTGGGCTGGGGGCCCAGGGATGCTCGGGCCACCTACCCGGCACTTGAGCTCGTATTCCTTCAAGACAGCTGCAGACTGTTCCTCCTGGGCCTGGAGCTCCATGCCCTGTGTCTCCAGCTGGAAGTCAAAAGACAGACACACTAGTGTGCAGAGGCCTCGGGTCTGCTGAACACCAGAAGAACATGGAAAGGGAGGCCAGCCAATGGCGGGAAGGGTGGGTGCAGTGGCCTCCCCAGCCCTGGCTGAGAACATGGCTTCCTCCCAGTGGCTGGCAGCAGCAGGCACAAACCGCTCACGTCCTCCCCTGGCCTCCAGGTGTCCCCTTCTCCACAGGATGGGCAGGTGGGGCCTCCCCACCATCACCTTGAGAAGGGTCTCTGTGGCTCAATTGACACACTGGCCTTGGCCTGTGAGGGGTGTGGCTAGCAGATAGCAGCCATGGTCATGAGAGCTGTAACACAGAGCCAAAGCCACCAAGCTGATTTTCTCTCTAGTCCAAGGATTTCAGTAGAGAAACCCTAAATTCAGTCATCCATGTGTCTTTCTTCGTGACTCTGATGCTCCCCTCACCCAGGGCTCTGAGTAGGGGCCTTGCCTTTTCCCTCAGCATGAACTCCAGGTCGCCCTGCAGTTTCAGGACCAACTTCTCTGAATCCGAAAGCTTTCCCACCACTTCCAGGATCTCCTGCTGTAACCGGCTATTTTCCTATAAGACAGGTGGTGTTGACGAGGCTCAGGAAGGCAAGGAAGAGATGGGCAGGTGTCTGCATCACTCGGCTCTGTGGGAGGCAGGTGCCTGGGTGTTGTGGCCTCTTCCCTGGAAGGCAGGTAGGCAGGTGGCCCACAGCCCCCAAGCGACAGACCTAGACTCAAAAAGGTCACAGATGAACATGTAAGAAACGGTTGCTGATGCAGCACTTCTGAGCTGTTCTCAAAAGATGGGTTTGAAATTGCACCCACAGGCAGGAGGGTGGCATCTTCAGACACTGGAGAATGAACTGAGAAGAGACAGTGCCTGGTGGTGCATGCCTGTAATCTCAGCACACTAGGAGGCCTAGATAGGAGAACCATTAAGTTCCAGCCCAGCCTGGGCAACTTAGTAAGACCCTGTCTCAAAATAAAAAATTTTAAAAGGCTGGAGATGTAGCTCAGTGTGAAGAGATCCTGGGTTCAATTCCCAGTATGGTAAAAAAAGAGAAAAAAACCAAACCTCATGGAGAGTGTGATTGGTGGCTTTGGTCACCTCCTGCAGATGCTGAAGTCAGTGTGGGCCAAATTAGGTGGGATGGGAGGAGCAGGAACCGGGCACAGGTGAGCATCTCTGGCCTTGGCTGTCCTTGCACCCCGGATGGCTCATGCAGCCAAGTGTGGCGGGTGCAGGGAACAGGACCCATGCCCAGCCCAGGGCACAGGTCAGAGCCAGAGGGAGAAGGAAGGGTGCCGTGTTTCTGTCTGTCCAGTGTGCCACCTACCTTCGAAGCCAGCCCCAATCTGTGGCGCAGGCTGGCCTCCTCGGCCCGCAGGTGGCCCAGGTCCTGCTCCAGCATGGCACTCTGCCTACAAGCCTGCTCCCAGATCAGCTCCCGCTCCGCCTCCACCTCTGCCCTCAGGAGGTTCAGCCTTCCTCGGTAGTCCTGCTCCAGGCACCTGCAACGCAGTGTGGCTCGCTGGGCTCCAGGTACTGCCCACTCCAGGGCCTCTTTCTAGGGTTATGGCCCTCCACAACCACCTTGGTCCCCGTGGTCTTGCTCTTGCCCAGCTCAGGAACCCCCTTATAGTGGGGTGGGGGTGACCTGGGGCCAGGGGTGCCTTGCATCACAGGGCCAAGGCAGCAGCTGTCCTCTGCACAAGTTTGAGGAAGTGGGAAGAGCAGATTGGGAGGGTCCCACTGATGCTTTCTGCCCTGCTCCACCAGCAGGCCAACCCTTCCAGGGTGCCCACCACCTCACTATAGGCTGTGGTACTGCACAGAGCACCCCCATCTCCCATGGGTGATGGCAGGCAGGGCTCTCCCTGATCCCACTGGCCACACAGCCGCTGCCAGGACCACTCAGCTGAGCCATGAAGAGCAAAATGCTGCCTGCTGATGTAGATATGCCTTCTGGATCTGCTCTGGCCTGGGAACAGGAGGCTCCTAGGCCTACTCTGATCGTGACCTGAGAGCTGCCCTGGGTGGCTATTCTGGCACAGGTACAGGGATACCACGGTGAGGAGCCCATGCACATAGCCCAGAACTCACACTATCTTCTGCTCCGTGAGCTGCTCCAGGGTGGTGTGGCTGTCATCCATCTCCCTCACGAGCTCCAGGCTCCTCCTCTCAGCCCGCTCCAGATCCTGTCTGGCCTTGTCTCGTTCCTGCACCAGCTGTTCCACCTGCTCTCTGCAGGGCAGGCAAGGATCCAGGTCACACAGGGATCCCGTCAGCCTCTCCGAACCTCATGCCATGCCTGCACTAACTGGGGCCATGGACCTCACTGCCTTCACAGCCCCACCCAGGGCTCTGTCTGCTGTTGCTATGCCCACCTTACAGATGGGCAAACTAAGGCAGAGGGCAAAGAAAGTGTCTGGCAGGCTTCTGACCCCAGCTCCTCTGAGCCCAGAGCCATGTCTGCAGCGGGCTTGGGACATATGGGCATTATCTTCGGGCCCTCCTAGCTCAGCCAGGCCAAGAACCCTCGGACACCCATACCTAATCCAGGCACAGACACAGGGAGGGCAAAGCCAGTCACCCTGATGCTGTGGGCACAGCCCCATGCCCAGCAGCCTGGTATCAACAAGCCCAGGTGAGGCCCCCAGAGCAAAGAGCGACTGACATGTGACCCTGGTTCTGGCTGGCCAGCCTCCAGGCACCCACTTTGCCTATGGAGGGAGATCAGGCTTCGCTCCTCCCCTCTCTGGTTCTGTCTGCAGAGCTGCCTGAGGTCAGAGGCTCTCTGCTAGGCCCTGACCGGGCACTGTCTTTGGGATCAGTTGTGGTCTCTGCTGTCTTTTCTGCAGCTGCACATCTGGACTATGCTTTGCAGACAGATGCCTGACAGTCACCCAAGCTGAAGCCCGGCCCCACCTGAAAACAGGTGACCGGCCCAGCAGTCACTGCATGTTTGAGAAAGCATCCTTCCTCTTGCATGAACCACAAGCCTGCAGCTGCTCTTGGAAGGTTCCCAGCCACCTGGAAGATCACCAGCTCCCTGCTATGAGCTGCAGCATCAGCGGATGCCAGGCAAGTCCTAGTCCTTCTTGAGCCTTACTAGATGGTCACAGCGAGAACCTGACATTCAGATCTCTGAGCCTCACACCAGTGGACGAAGGGCCAGCAGCCCTTTAGTTCTGTGCCCTCAGAACCTGAACAGCAGGCAGGGACTGTCCTTGGGGCCACAGGCCCCCTGCCAGGCTTGTGGGTGACCTCCTTTGCTACCCACATCCTCTTCCTGCCCCCAGGAGCTCGGGATGAGGCACTCATCCCTGGCCTGGCCACTGTGGGAGGAATGGGATCTCAATACCAGCCTGTCCTGGGCTCCCGGACCTTGGCCTGGCTGGGGCCTTCATGGCTCTTACTGGTGGTAGCTGAGCTCCTGGCGGTAGCAGGCCAGGGCTGCCTGCTGGATGACACTGTCGACTGTCAGGAGCTCGTTGTCTAAGGCCCAGGTTAGCTCCAGGAGGTCGACCTTCTCATCCAGGCTGAAGTCCAGGCTCTAGAAGCAGCAAAGCACAAGGGTGAGGGCTCCCCAGACATGTCCTTGTCCCCTAGGGCGTGATAGCTCCCCAGACACATCCTTGTTCCATAGGGCACAAGGGTAAGGGGTCTCCAGACTCTTTGCTCCCTGACAGTCTGAGGCCCAGGCTCTGCAGCCATCACAGCCAGCACCAGGTCTGTGAGTCTCTGCCTCAGGAGGAATCTCCAAGACTCAAGCAGCTCTGTTAGCTGCCAACCCTGTGGCTCTGCTTCTGTCATGATGTAACCTCTCTTATTCCTCTAGTCACGTGTTCCTTCATCCCCTTTGTGATATAGATAGCCCTATTCCCGTTGTGAGGGAGCTCTGTGTCCCTGCCTAATGGGTTCAAGAGACCCAGGGTGGACAGAGTCCCCTCCCTGAAAAAAGGCAGGGAGAGGCATCCCAACCAAATACCTCACAGATCCATGCACCAAACCCTGTCTCCCTGCTGCCCACTCAGGCCTTGGCATCCCCTTTTGCTTAAGCTCCTGGCTTTGCCATTTAGACTCAAGGCCAACCCACCATCTCTGAGAAGGAGAGGTGATGATTTTGTTGGTAGAAAGTCAGAGGGGGATCAATGGCTAGCTGTATCCTGGAGAGGAACAAACTCCAGCCCTTGGGGTTTTGAAAAATGAAGTTAAAAAAATGTATGTCGTGGGTATTTTGACACACAAAAAAGCCAGACAGAGCTGCAAACAACACACCCTCCAGCTCTGCAACCCGGGACTGTGTCCAGGGCCGAGGTGCTTGGCTCCTGCTTCCTGCCTCAGCTCTGTATCACCATGGCTACCTGTGCACCACTTTTACTGCCTGCTCTGGGGCAACCATTGGTGTGCTGTGAGAATGTCCCTTTGGGGGCCCCACAGAGAGGCTCATGGGAGAACAAAGACCAGGATCACAGTGAGCATCAGCCTGGCTCCATGTGAGTGCCCCCTACTGGAACTGGCGAGACTGGTGCTGGCTGATGGCTGATGACAGTGTCCTGTGGCGCCCACCTGGCTGCCCCCAAATTCCTGACCCACCAAAGCTGTGGTCTGAGAATGACAGCTGTGTCTCAGTGACAACACACTGCGGGGCACGATCCTGACACCCTGACACCGTGCCCTCGTGGGAAGGTCTGGAGAGCAGTATCACATGGGGACAGTTTCAGCGGCTGGCAAGGCTTGTCAGGAACGTCTGTGACACTTCTCTCCCTGGCACGTGGGACCGCTTTCCTCTGTGCAGCAATCGGGGGCAGTGTGCAGGGCCTTGAAACTTACCTTCAACGGACTTTTTCAGGCTGTTGCTTTTGTTGTATTTTATTTACTATTTAAAATTTCCCATGTTTTAATAGCAAAATTTGAAGAAAAAAGGTTTCCCCATGGACATTTCCTACATGAGATTCTCTGGACAGAGCCTGTGTCCTGGTGTGTCCCAGCACGGGGTGCTCTGTCCACCCTCCTCAGAAGGCACACATCCCCCATGTTCCCTCCCCCTGCTACCTGGGTGCCACTCAAACCTGCAGGATCTCCCGGCCACTGTGGATGCCCTCCTGGGCCCAGGTGGCGATGACCTGCTCTGGAAGGGAGAATCCGCTGCCATCGTCGATGCTGGAGAAGAGGCGCAGGCCACAGCTCATGGACACGAGGGAGGAGGTGGTGGTGGCCGTGTGACACCCGCTCTCCTCTGGGACCTGCCCCTGGGGAAGACAGGGTGCCCTAGCATGTGGCATCCTTGACCCAGCAGCTGCCCCCTCTTAGTCCCTACCATTACTGCTTTCTCATCAATGCCGGACACAGGAACAACACACAATACAGTTGTTATGGTCTGTGTCTAGATGCCCCTGCAAAAGCCTCATGTGCATAGGGCTTTTTCAGAGGTGGATGAATCTAGAGTGTGGGTGACCCTGGGATTAAGGGCGTGTGATTAGTAAATCAGTCCACTAATTTCTTTGGCACCACCCTAAGATAAAAGGTGGAGAAAGATGCTGTTACGGTTCTTTGTTGCTTTTGCTACTGTGTAGGTGCCATGAACTGTTTCTCCTCTGTGACACCCCTCTGGCATGTGGCACTCTGCCTTGGAGCCAGCCAATTATGGACTGAAACCTCTACAGACTGTGAGCTAAATAAGCCCTTTGCCCTTTAACTTTGGGTACTGGGTATTTTGTCTCAGCAATGAGCAAAAAGTAACTAAGACAACTGTCATTAGTGCCTCTTCCTGGAGAAGAAGAAAGAGGCTGGGCACCATCACAGTTTTATCTGGTCACATGGCTCTGCAGGGCACCCAGCTAGGATGTCCCTGGTCCCACGTTCCTGTCAGGGCCCCAGAGCCTGCTCCTGTGCCATCTACCAGAAGCCTCAGGCCTGTGTGGTTGACCTCAGCCTGGTCAGCAGGCATCATGTGAAGGACCATGCATGGATTGGTGTTTCTGCCCTGAGTTGGTGAGCGAGTGCCTGGCCTGCAGAGGAAGACTCGGGAAGCTGCATGCAAAGCCAGGAAAATCTAAGCTGAGAAAAGCAGAGGAGCCCAAGCAGAAGCTCCCTCTTCCCAGAATCCTGCTCAAGAGGAGCTGTGCATCAGGGTCACCAAGAAGGTGACCCAACCTCTCAGCTCTAGTCCTGTAAGTTTGCTCCCAATGCATTCTGCTTCCACTGGGTCTTGCCCAAGAAACCTTTGCTATCTGAGACTCCAAGACTCAGGGTGTCAGTGGGTCCTGCACACTGGGCACCTCTGCTCTCCACCTAGACTCTACCCACCACCCTACTCAGATGGGTCTCACTCTGGAGTCACTATTCCCAAATTGCTCTTCCCAGTTTTCCCAGTGGTCTTGCTGCCTGATGCTTTCCTAGCTGTCCCTCTTCTAGCTCTGCTCCAGTGACACCCCCAGACCAGCATGAAGCCCCTACCCCAAAAGCCCAGCAAGCAGCCACGTCCACCTGCTCTTCACACATGGCCACTGAAGAATGAGTGTTTATGGGCAGGCACCTTGCCTTCCCTGGGGGAAGGGCAGCTCCGTATGCCCTGCACAGCCAGCAGGGTCCTCCCCACCCTGCACCCAGCTGCTGCCCAGTGGAGGTGCTGTCCTTGGAGGCATCACCAAGGCAGGGCCTGGGTGCTCTGCAGACTCTAACAGGGCCTGTCCCTCCTGGCCTGGCCGTGTCTCAGGTGGACACATACTATGTGCACAGGGAGTCCAGGTGCGGGTGGTGCAGTGTGTTACACATGGGTGTGCATGCAACAGAGTGTATGCAGTGGGTGCACATGGACAGTGGATGAGTGTAACAGCAGGTGTGTATGCAGTGTGTGCAGTCAGTGCACGCACATGGTGTGTGTGTATATAGTGTGTGTGTATGCACTGTGTATGTGGTGGGTGCACTGGACAATAGATGTGACGTACACAGTGGTGTACATGTAGGGTAACATGTATATAGTGGAAACACGTAGGTAGATGTCCTTGCAGTTGGTGCAATGTAGTATGTGTGTATACAGTCAGTACACAGGTATGGTGGATGTGGATGTTCATGCAGCAGTGTCCGTACACAGTGGGTGTCTGCAATTTATGTGTACAGGTGGTATGCACACACCATGATGTGTGTGTGTAGAGTGTGGGCTAAGACAGTCCTGGGTCCTGGTGCCCAGGAGCTGCTGCAGCTATCATAAGGTGGGGGCTGTGCTGCGTGGGGAGGGTGTGGCTCTGGCAGATGAGGTGGGTAGTGAGCATGGGGAGCGGGTTCATTACAGGGCAGCCAGGCGGGGCAGATACCAAGGACCTCGGGCATAGAGAACAGCGCTTGACTCACAGGTGGCTGATGACCCTGAGGCCTGACACCTCCACAGGGCACAGCACAGCCCTTCTGCCCCCCACCAAGGCCCCTGCTGTTCTGGCACCGGGACTTGGTGGCCAGGCAGCAACCACTGAGCCGAGCTGCTGTAGTCCAGCACTACATTGACCTCCTCCCTCCCAGAGCAGTGAACAAATGACAGGAACCAGGATATAGGACCCAGTATGGGATAGAAGTCGCCCTACCAGCCACCCCTGGGGAGGGGGCTTCCCACTGAGACCCTCTGTAAATTCATTGACCAGAGGCCATGGAGGTACTGTGGTGTGATCCACAGAGGCCCCAGGTGGGTGCATGGCCTGTCCCCCTTCACAGGGGCACTGGGGCTCAGAGACAGTAAGGGACTCGCCCCAAAACACACACTTCAGCTCAGGTCTGTTTCACCCACCCCACACTCACACATGCAAGTGTATGCACGTGCTCAGCATGTGGCCCCTGTGCAGCTCACTGAGTGACACACAGAGACATCCTGCCAAAGTCACAGGAGTGACAGCTGGGGTTCGACATAAAACTGTCCCATTTACCTGGCAATGGGACCAGGGCCTGCTTGGTTTGACTAGGGTAGAAGATTCTGGAATCTGCGAGGGTTTGTGGCTGCACAGGCCAAGCTGGAACTCTTCGAGACTCACTCTGCCATCACCATCTTGGTCCAGTTTGTGGAACAGGTCTTTGAGCTCCTGGACCAAATTCACTGCCCATCAGGCTCTGAGGGGCCCCACCCAGACTCTAGGCACCCTGTTGGGCTGGCTCCTGTCCCCACCCAACTTGAACTGACCAGCTGCTTTCCTGAGGTCCTCTGCCTCAGTTTCCCTCCCACCATGAGTGGGCACCCCTGGACTTCCTGACTACATTGTCCAGTGGGGACTGGAATCTGCTGGACACTGAGGGGTATGCAGTGGGCATGGCTGGCCCCTAGCTCAGAGTCCAGCAAAGGCACTGGGCAGCCTGGTCTCCACAGCCACCCAAGATCACACACGGGCCCAAGGCCACCTGTCTGGGCTGGTATAGAACTGGGTCATGCGGAGTAGGCCAGGGTCCACTCCAGGATCATGAGCGAAGGCATCACACCTGCCCAGCATGCTGTGGGGGTGGAGAAGAAGCCTGGGAGGCTGGGCCAGGCTGTCACAGAAGGGCCTGGAGTTTAGCTTCAGACAGAACAGGGAGCCATCCAGGTTTTGAGGCCAGAAAGTGACAACTGAACCTGTGCCTGCAGAGTAAAGGGATTTTCCAGACCAGCATGAAGCTGGGGACTCATGCATCACTGGGGGCACCCATGCCCTTACCTCCTTCTCGAGTCCGTGGAGCCCGATGCTCTGGCAGACCACAGCCAGCTCCTGCTCATCCAGGTGGCCACGACTGCCAACGCCCAGCTGCTCCCAGATGTCCTGAACCTGGCTCTCAGATGAGGCATACAAAGGGCTACAAGACTTCTGGGGGCTCCCAAAGACCTCAGAGCCCCAGGTTTGCAGCTGCCCTGGAGAAAGGGGGAGCCACAGTTAAACCCTGCTGAATGTGCATGGAATATTCAGCCATAAGAAGAAGGAAATCCCACCATTTGCAGCAGTAGGGAAGGACCTGGAGGATGTTATGAAACATTAGGCATAGAAGGATAAAGAACACACAGTCCCACTCGCAGTGGGATCTGAAGAATGCGGAACTATGGTGACAGAGGATGATGTGGGTTAGCAAGGCTGGGGTGGAAGCAAAGTTGCTTACTAGAGGATACAGAATGCTGCACTTAGGAGATGGTTAAGCTGAAGATGTATGCACAACATGCTGACCACAGTTAACCATGCAACAACTACATGGAATTTGCTCAGAGAGCAGATCTCAAGAGTTCTCACACACATACACACAAACTCACATGTGTGTACACTCACAAATACTTGCATATACACAGATACAACACACACGTGTGCATACTTATATGCAGAAATGTGCACACATGTGTGTACACACATCCATATACACATGTACACTCATGCACACATGTGCACACATACAGAAGGAACCATGTGAGATGGACATGTCAAATCACTTCAGTGTGTTCATTTATTAAATCAGCACGCTGTGCAGCTTAAATATCTGCAGATCTGTCTGTCAGTCACACCTCAGGAAAGCCGGGGAAACCAACAACAGTCAGGACTGTGCCCTGGGCAGAAGCATACGGATCCTGCCGATTTACTCTGAAACCACATGTGCCAGCGGACAGACAGGGACACATGGGTGTCAGAGGAGCCACCAAGAGGCTGTCTAGGTGGTGAGGAGATGAGGTCCACAGTCCAATCCTCCCCACTTCATGTTTGTAAGTTTTATACAGAATGTTTCCCCATGCTCCATGTGGGGCAAGCTCTTCCTGAGGGGGACCTATTAAAGCCAGAGCCTCAGAAACACACAGAGGCTCCGCTGAGACCAGCTTTTCCTGTTTCCTTTAGTTTCACAAATCAATCTTTCTTCCTTTTTTTTTTTTTTTTGCAGTGCTGGGGATCAAACCCAGGGCTTCACGCATACTAGGTAAGCACTCTAGCTATGTCCTCACCCCAAGACCAGCTTTTAAAAAATTTCATTTATTGAAACTTTCAGACCCATCCAGAGCAAGAGAGGAGCATGGCCAGCCTGGTGCACCCACCCTTGTCTCGGCAACATGAAGATGCGGGGCTGTGGTGTGAACTGCTTGCCCTCCAAGCTTAGCCAGAGGCTCAATGCCAGCCTCAGGCTGCATGGAAGGGCGAGGAACTTGGCCTGTGCCCAGCCTGCTATAGGGTCACATGGGCCCCTTGGCCCCATGGCATCTCCTTGGGGGTCATATAGGCCCCTCACCTTGACCAGCACCTCAGGGCTCCCGTCATCCCCTCCTACTTTGCTGCTGAGCTCCTCCACTCATTCTCCAGCTTCATACAAGCTCACAGTTTATTCTATGCCACCTTCTCCTTCTACACTATCTGCCACAGGTATTGGTCTGTCTCCTCAGTCAAACCTTAGGACTCTTAATATTTGCTTTTTATATCATGAAAATATAGGCAAATGCAAGATAACTGACATGAAAAAGAAGTCCTCTTCCCCCTAAGCCTCCATGCTCCTCCCTAGAGACAACGGCTGTAAAAATTTTTCCTGATTTCAGAAACATTTCTGTACCACAGGCGCCGTCCTCCTGTCCTGCTTACTCTGTGCACCCAGCCCCATCCCATTGACAGCCAAGTTTCTCCTTTCTGGGCTATACAAGGCTCTGAGGATCAGGGCCATGTCTCCCACTCTCCTGGGACCAGTAGGACCCTGGCAGGTGCCAAGGTGGCTCCTTCCCCCGCAGGGAGGCTATGCCCTGGCTCACTGTGGCAGGAAGGAGCACAGCTAAGAGCCTGGCCACACTCCCCAGTGGGGCCACATGGGAATGTAAGGACCACATTGCATCCTCAGCCAGAGGCCTCTTCTCCAGGATCAGGAGGCTGAGGACTGAGCAACAGTTTCTGGGGCCACATTCTGCCCAATGCCCAGCTCGTGGAGCAACCAGTCCCTGGCCAGAGGCAGAGGGCAGTGGGCAGCAAATATGAGGTCATGTGTTACCTTGGGCTTCGAACAGCTCATCCTGAGGTTCTCTAGGACTCTCAGCTTCCTCATTGGACTTGAGACTCTGGAACAACAGGGAAGGAAGTGAGTCCCCAATGGTGTCCTGGAACTGCAGCACCAGGGACAAACAGAATAGGGCATTTGGGCAGGACAGGGACAGCAGAAGACGCCCCCATGGGGCCTCACTAAGCAGCCCACAGTGCCTGTGAACCAACATCCTCTCAGACCAAAGGGGACTTGTGCTCAAGTTCCTCAACATAAACATAGCCACAAGGAGCTCACTGAGGACATGGCAAAGCCCAAGCCCCTGCTGCAAGGGGACCCATCTTCATAGCACCAGTGCTGCCACCATCCATAGGAGGCTGCACATCTCTGCCTTCTCCATGGCAACTCACCCACATTGGGTCAGCAAGCAAGCAGAGATGAAGCAGGTCCCTGAGTTCCCAAGGGCTCTGGGCACAGCACAGTGTGCAGGCGCCTGACACCACAGTGTCCTTTGCAAACTTGCACCCAAGGCCTCAGAGGGGCAGGGGCACTGAGAAATGCACAGTTTAGGTAAGAGCCTCACATTTCAGTGACTGAGCAAGCCGACCAGAGTCAAAGTCTGCTTCTGACCAAGTGCTGTGTGTCCCGATAATGGATTCTAGAACCAATGGCTGGGTGACCGAGATTGTCCCCTGCAAAGCTGGCACTAATTCTCAAGGGTCACAATCGAAGTTGCTGATACTTAACCCCATTTTTCTAATGTGTCAACTCAACTGACAATCCTGAAGGCAGCTTTCCCTGTACTCACAGTTTGGGACTCTAAGATGACTTAAGGCTTGGCGTTGGTGGTATGCATCTGTGACCCCAGCTATTCTGGAGGCTGAGGCAGGAAGATTATAAGTTCAAGGCCAATCTGAACAACTTAGTGAGAATCTCAAAATAAAAAAGGGTTGTGGATGTAGCTTAGTGCTCCTTGTGTGTAATCCCCAGTATCACAAAAAAGAAAAAAAAAGGAAAAGAAAGAAGAGATGGCTCAAGCAGCAGAACAGCACAATGAAGATGGAGCACAAGGCCAGGTGCCACCCACTCCACCTCTGTATCTGAGGCCCAAACTCACAAAGAGAATAAAAAGCAGGATCCTGGATTTGGTTGCCCAGGTGTAACAGGCCCCTGAAAAAAGAGCTCTGACATTCAAATATGTGTTTCTTTTTTCGCCTCAACACATCTCCAAGATACAAACACATCAGTGTGGGGCCAGGGCTCCTATAAAAGGCTCCCAGTGTGCCTGGATGTCAGAGTTCCTGTCACAGACAGTGGGACCCAGGGTCTCTGCGATCCTTTGAAAACAGTTCCAAGAGTCCATGGTTTGCTGAGGAGCTGCACACCTGCCCTATGGAATCTCTTTACTCGGGAGCATGAGGCCTGGCTGGTCTCCTGGCCATCCGAGACATCTGGGATGGGCTCTGCAGGCAGGAAGCAGCACTGTCAAGGCTCTGGGGGCCTGGGCCTGACTCTGCCAGGGCCTGGGACCTTCTATGCCTTTGAAGCAGATGGGACTGTGGGCATGGAGCATGAACATTCCTAACCTGAGGCCAAATCGCTGTCCTTAGCACATCACATTCACTCTTGTGATGTTATATAAAAGTCACCTTGCAGTGACAGGGAGGGAGGATCTCTGTGCGAATTCTCTACTGCCAGAGAACTGAAGGTGGGTCCCTGTGGCAGGACCACTCAAAGACAATCAAACCAAGAGGATTATAGGGAAATGTCATCCCCAACGTGGATCCAGGCTGCTGGTAACTTCAGCTGCCTGGAATGTCACTGCCCTCCCCCTAGCTCTGGTGACCATGTGCCATGGTGACAGAAGGAAGTGTTCCTTCCCCAGCCCCAGGCACCCTGGGGTGGGAAGTAATAGCCGACCCACCTCCACACTCTCCAGGGACATGGAGTGGTGGAGCTGGCTCTTCAGGCCAGCCCTTGCCTGCTGCTCTGGTCCACATCTGGCTTTGGTGGCAGAGGCCCTCTGCTCTGGCTGGCTCCAACGGCCGTACCACTTGGAGCCACTCACATATTTTGGTGGGACAGTATAGGAGGCAGCTGGAGAGAAAACAGGTGCAGGATCATGAAGTGCTCCAGGCCCACGTGTGTCAAGCCTGTCACACCCAGAAGAATGTGAAGATACGCAGTGCACAGCAGATCATCAAGGGTGTTAACTCAAGGGACCAGGGTTTCCCTGGCACCTCGGGGGAAATGAGGCGCCAAGACAAGAAGGTCCTTCCACTAAATTCCACCTACTGTTTACATTTTTTCAAGTATATTTTGCTTCTGTTTATGAAATGAAAAAATAAGCACAAAATGTAGCATTCTATCAAAGGAAAAACACTTGCAATAATCCAAGAACACACAGCTCCAGAGACCTAGAACTTCTCATGCTTCACCACAAGGACTAACAGAGGCCTGGAGGCCACAGGCCAGCAGGTTGGAGGGTCCAGGGCAGAAGCAGGCAGGGACACTGGTTTGGGATTTATAAGAATTCACTGAATCCACATTACTCTATCCCCACCTTCATCCTGCACATTTGGACAAATCTACAACGTGCTCATGGGTGGGCAAGGAGATGGTGGGGAGAACACAGAGGTCACTCATGGATCCAGAGGGAGGAAGCAACCAGACCAAGACAACTGGGGAGAAGGGCCCTTCCTCCATGTGTGCTCAGGTACAGCCATGTTGGGGGGGGGGGTCCTCTCCTCCCTGTCTGCTGTGGCTATCATGGGGAGTTTTTTCAGGCCCATGTAGTGCAGGGAAATAAAATCTCTGGATGCAGTGGAAGCTGCATTGCACATGGGAAGCCATGCTGGAGGAACCCAAGGGTGCTTATGACCCTGCACCACAGGACCTGCCAAAGACAGAACCCAGGCTCTGCTGCCTTTGATGGCCACGCCCTGGGGCTGAGGCCTGCACTAACACACCTGGGGATGGTGTGGCCACCAGTGTCTGCATCCTCTCCTTAGTCCCCTGGTCTGTACTGACCTCAAGGTGCTGTGCTACCTGGTATCCTCCTCATTCCCAGCCAGGCAGCTCTTCTCTGGAATGAGGAGTACCCAGGAGTGCAATGTCCTTCCCAGAATCAGCCACTTGGAGGAGAGCATCCACATGGCTCACCAGCTTGGGGACAAAGACTCAGAGCCAGCCAACAACATCCAAGGTGGCCATCATCCCCTCAGAACCACAGGGTTCCTCCCTCTGGGCGGAATGCATCCTAAGTCTCCTGGGCCCAGTATCTTTCCAGTAGGTCCTAAGCCAGTGCTCTGTCTACCACTCACTCACTACGCCCCCATAGCACACCTTCAGGCCAAAGTCCTGCACACCTGTGTGCCTTCTCCAGGAAAAGTGCCATAAAGTCCAAAAAGTGCATTTAGTTATATGTCCAATGATGGCCTTGAACAAGAGGAGAGTGATGGGGAGCAGGGCTGCTCTCCAAAATCCAGGGTACACGTCACACCATGAACCCTGCCCTACGTATCCAAAGCCCATTTCTCTGATTACCACGGTGGGCTGCTGGAAGAAGCAGCAAGATGGGAAACCCAAAGGAGGATGACATCATGACTGGAGCAGCAAGTGGGGCCTTAGCACAGAGCCCTCAGCTGCATGTACAGCAGGGTGAAAAGGGGGCTGGAGCAAGGTAGGGGAACAGGTGTGGGGATGAGCAGGTGGGTGAGCAGGACAGATGGGGTGCTGAACTAGACCCAGCCCTGCAGGGCATGGGCAGGGCAGGCTGAATCTGCGTGGATCTCTGTGGCTACAGTCCATAGCACTGGCTCAACCTTTCAGGCAGGGGACGGGTATCTGGAGTTGGACAGGGACTGTTTGCTTCTTTCGAAGAATGGAGAACGTGTTGCACAGATGGAGAGCTTGGAGCTCAGGGTGCTCATGGCATGCAGCAGGACTGCAGCGTCCCAGGCACAGATGCGGAACATGTCCCTGGAGCAGGGCCTCCCGCTCCCCAGGCACCTTGATGATGGGATCCCGTCCACACTCCTGTGAGTGAGAAGAACAAGCAGCCGCCTCACATTTTGGAGGGAAAGGTATGCGTCAGGACTGGGCCCTGAAAGTGTTGTGTGCACAGGGCTGGCTCAGGTCCAAGGTCCCCAACCCCAGGTCCCTACCACCAGGGAGTAGGCAGGAAGGGGCCACTGACACCCATGAGACAAGCAGGGTTCCAGCACAGCTGTGCACAGGGCCCAGGACTTTTAAATTGGAAAACATGCTTGAATCCTCCCACCAGTCACTCATTGAGGTCTGGACAAATCCTTTCTCCTGGAGCCTCAGGCTTCTCATTGAATAGCGAGGATGATAACGTGACAGGACTCGGTGAGGAGTGAGGATCTACATAGAACAGGAGCCAAGAGCTGGGCACCCAGATGATTCTCAGTATGGGTCCTCAGCCCCTTCCCTCCTCTCACCAGTGCTGTCCCACTGCTGGGCCCTCTCCCAACCTTCAGCAGGGCTGGATCTCGGCCCAGCCTGACTCTAACCTTATGGCTGCACAGCTGGCCCTGTCCCTGATCTGCAGCTGGCCCTGATACTGACCTGGGTCCCCCAGGGAAGTGCTGCCATCTCACTGCACACCAGCCATGCAGGACATTGTCTGGGACCTGTGACCAGTAAGTCCTGGACTGGGTCGTTGCATGCCCCAGCAGACCCTCCCTGTGCTCCCACCAAGCCCACTGCTCTCTGACATGTGTGACCAGGACCAGGAGGTGGCTGATCCCCGCCATCCATGCTGGCCAGTGCATCTCTTTCCCATCCACCCCTTCTTATAAGATTCCAACCAATTGTACAGCACAGTGACAAGCAGGTGTCAGAGGTCCTAGGTGGGTGGCCAGCTGCCTGCATCATGGAGGCCAGGGGGCTCCTCCCACACACCTACCACGTGACCCTCAGCACTCAGTGGCAGGCATGGTGCATGTCACCCTAAGACACTGCTTACAAACAGGAGATGAAGGGAAGAAAACCCAAACATCCAAGTCCACACACCCTGAAAGTGACAGGAAGCAGGGTTGGGATTCAGTTTTCAGAACTGGAGGTTTTACTCCAAAAGGCAACAGAGAAGTAAGGCAGAGAAGGTAAGCTGAGAGGAGGGCATTCTCTTACCTGACTGCAAAGAACCAGCTTCTTCACTGATGGGGTTGCCACCAGCCTTGGAGGACAGCACTGTCACAAGCCCTTCCTTAAACTCCTCAAAGTTGACCTGCACAGGGTTAAGGAGAGGAGACACTGTGACTGCCAGCAGAGCCATGCTCTGGGCTCCTCTCAGATGGAAAATATCTGACTGCTCCCCTAGGTGGAGAACATTTCTCTCAGTTTTCCAAATATGTGCTTAAGGCTGTTTGCAACAGAAGAGTAAGAAAGGTAAAACTGAGCCACAATCCCACCACCAAATAAACACTTTTATAAAGCAGATCCAGCAACACAATTAGAAAAAAAAACAAAAAACAGGCAGTGGCACAGCCCTATAGTCTGAGGGGGCTGAGGCAGGAAAAGTGCTTGGAGACCAGGAGGAGTTCCAGGCCAACCTGGGGAATACAGGGAGACCTGTCTCTAAAAATAAGAAAAATTTACAAAAGAAAATAACCAGTAGGGCCGGGGATTTAGCTCAGTGGTTTTGCTGCCTGCTGAGCAAGCACAAGGACCAGAGTTCAATCCCTGGTACCAAAAAAAAAAAAAAAAAAAAAATAACCAGTGCAGAAAAAGGGAAACTGATGGTCATAAGACATTAATACTCATAAAGCAAATATCCATGGTATCACGACCCCAGTAGAAACAGAATGGTGCCAGCTCCTTGGAAGGCTCTGCTCCCGGGTTCCTTCCTGCCAATACCATATGTAATAGTAATGTACGTCCTTGCTTTTCTGCTTTTCTGCACCTAACCTGCATGCATCCCTAAAACACAGGGTTTAGTTTTCCTTCAATGGACTCACAGGCATATGTTCTTTTAGGTCTTGCCCCTTTGACTTGACCCTGCTTCTGTAATGCGTGGCCTTGAGGCTGTGCATGGCGTAATTCATCCATCACTGATGCACAGCACTTCACTGTGCACTGGGATGACAACCAATCTAGGTCCTGCTGTCTCCAGTGTCTGCTTATTAAAAACAAAATGCTTTGAACACTGTCCCATATGTTTCCTGTGGGGTTTCTCCACAGGCCAGACCTAAGAACTCCGCGGTCACTTTTTAATCTTAAAGTCCCACTTTCTCATATCAAAAACCACCTGGCTTTCTTTAGGTTAGTATTTACATGGTGTATCTTTTGTCAAACTTTTAGTCTTGGGCTGGGTATTTAGCTCAGTGGTGCTGCACCTGCCTTGCAAGTACAAGGTCCTGAATTCGATCCTCAGTACCAAAAAAAAAAAGAATTGTATCAAACTTTTAGTCTCAATTATGTACATCCTAATGTACATTGCCTCTTATGAACAGTAGTTAGATTTTTCTAATCTGACAATCTTTATCAATTAACTGAAGTATTTAGTCTGTTTACATTTAATTTAACTACTGATATATTTGGATTTAAATTTAATATTTACTACTTTCAATGTGACATTTTTTTTTTCATTAAGTGTATTGGTACATTTTAGGTATACAATATGATGACATTCATCATGGGGAATTTGTACCTTCACATGATATATGTTGGTTTTTATTTTTTTCCCCATTCCCCTGCCCTCCCTTCAGCCCTTTCACCCCTTCTCATTTACAAAGATTTTGTTTCCACTTTTGCTTTTCTCATATTTTTTCCTTTCTCTTCTTTCCTTTCCCCTACCCCTTCTTGGTTTTTTTCTTCCTCTTCTTCCTCTTCCTCCTCCTCTTCTTCTTCTCTTTTTGGATTTACTGTATTTTAGGACTTCATTTTTCTCTTTGTTAAATTAGTTGTATGAAGTCTATTTTCATTTTCTTACTGCTTCTCCTAAAAATATGTATCCTTAGCTTATCAAATTTACTATTAATCAATACTTTCACCCTCTTTTCTTTATTTTGGTACTGGGGATTGAACTCACGACCTTGCACTTTCAAGGTAGGCGGTGACACCACTGAGATAAATCTCCAGCCCTTTCACCTTCTTCTATAATACAAAGCCTGTGTAATGTTTTACCTCCCTTTGCTACATTCCTAACTTTTAAACTTTTATTATCCATTTTAACTCTTTATATTTTTTGCCCCTACAAAATATCATTTTAATTTTATATAGTTAATGTTAATTTAGAATTGTCCACATATTAACCAGTAGGTTTTTCATTTCTTCCTGCAATTCTGATCTTCTAACTACGATAATTTTCCATCTATTTAAAGTACATCCTCTGGAAATTCATTTTTTTTGCATATACTGGTGGGAAACTCTTCTAGTTGTTTCAAATGTTTTAATTTCACCTGTAATCTTTTCAGCAGAACATAATTTATAGCTTACAATAATAATTCATTCTTCTAGAATAGTGGAAGTGACTCTATGTTCACTTAAAGAGAATGGATGAACAATGACACAGTCATGCAATGCAACATGACAACGCACCAACCATGCAGATACAGAGATGTGAATGTGGCTCACAGACATCACCTGGTGCACAAGAAACCAGAGTATGCTGGTGTGCATGTCAGAAACAGAATCCACAGGCCTACCATGCTGGTGATGGGATGATGGGAGGCTTTGGTGACAGCAAGACCTAGAAGGCTTAAGGAGGGAGTTGGGTGCTGGTCACACAGGTGTGCTCTGCTGGGAGCACTCACTGTGCTGCACATTTTGCCGTGCTCTTTTCTCCATGCTAATAAAGTTCCACAGGAGGAAGCAGACAGGAAGGTTTCCAGGCCAACATCATGGTAGTGCTGGAATGGCAGGCTTGGGGCTGCAGGCTCTGCTGTCTCTGTGATGACCAACTGCCACTGTTCCTAGTCCTCTGTCTAGAACAAGTATGCATCGCTCCCTGACCTGAACTCACATGCACTTGGGGCAGGAGCTGCCTGCTATACTTTATGTGGTCACCTTGATAGTCTCCTGCTGCTGAATCTCTTTTCCCACCATAAGCTCTTCCATGGCTTTGCCGTTGGAAGGTATCTGTGCTGAGTGTGGGTATAGGTCAGCTGTTACCTTCTCTTTTGTTTTGTTTTTTTGAAACAGGGTTTCACTACGTAGTTCAGACTGGCCTTGAACGCTGAGTGATTCTGCTGCTTCAGCCTCCCTAGTGTTGGGGTTACAGGAATGTGCCACTACACCTAGCTGGTTATCTTCTTTTAGTAAACAGGACTCTGGCTTCCCCTGGTGGTTGCTGTATTTGGTTGCTACTTTGGAATACTTTTAAGATTGGGGATAAGGTTCTGTCTTCAAGAGTGGGCACATGTTTGCCTTTGCCATGTGCAGGACTGCCTGATCTAACCAAGAGGCCTGAGGGTTTGCACCCCCCGTGTGGGCACAGGCAACATGGTGGCTGACTGACCTGCAGTTAGTCTCTGTCCAACAGGTGTTCCATTAGGATTCTTCAAAAACATGGGACTGGTCCACCAGACTTACTACCTTGGATGAGCCTGGTTTTCATATCTTCTTCCTTGGCCTTTTGAGTCCCCCAGGACCACAGATCAATCTCACACTAGCTTATGGTGATAAAATATTCTTAAGACAAACATGGTTTTGTACGTTGAGCTCACCAGGTATCTGATTTACCATACATCTTTGGACTGGTAATTTCTCTCTAGTGTTTCTCCCTTCTGTTTTTGAGATTTTTGTTTTTATTATTTTATTTACCTTTTTTAGTAGCCTCTGTGAAAAGTAAGCTTGAGTTTGCTGATCTGCCACTATTGAAATGCTGGAAGTTTCTCCATTTTGGGGAGGGGGGTTGTGTAGAATTTCCAACATTTGGATCTACCAGAATTCACTTAACCAACCCCACAATGACTGGCTGCTCCGGTCTTCAGTGCCAGTATGAATGACCTTGCACACATGAAGGTGGAAATGTGTGTCATCTGTGCATCCTCAGCACCTGGGGGTGCCCAGCACATGAGTGCTCAGCAAACACCAGCAGAGCATACAGATACACAATGAAAGGGCAGCGCCGCTTGATCTGATCAGTTTCTCCTGTGTCTCTGGTAGTAACTATCAGTTTCTTCTATCCACCAAACAGCAATGGGATGTGTGTCCCTGTCTGATGTTGCCTTAGCTTGACCCATTTTGACTGTGTTTGTTTCCTGGGTCTTGTCCTTCACAGCCCCTAAGACAGGAAACAGCCTCATGGCATTCTGGGAGGTGGCCACCACTGCATCTCCGTGTGACCTGAGATTTATTTTTGCAAAACAAAGGGGGAGGACCATGATCAACAGTCACTTTCAACTTAGGGTTAGAGTTAATTATCCACCCTAAGTATTGTGAATAACACTATGTTATGAATCACTTTTTAAAGAGATTAATTATCTGTCTAAATTTAAAATTCCTGAGATTAAGGTCCTCACCACTGTTATAATAGAAACAAGATGACATAATGTAAAATATACATGGAAATCCCCATAAAAGTCACAAGGATTTTCACCCTATGAACTTTGCAACTTGAAACCAGACCTTGATAATGTTTCTTTAAGATAATACAGGAGCTAAAAACAAGCATAACTCTATTGATTTCAAAAATTACCTTGTTAATACTGTTCTTCATTTGTGTAACTGGATTTCTGTATTCATGACTACCATTTGCATGTACATCAGTCCCTATGAGGAAACTGGACATATGGTTTCTAAATTGAAAGCTGGTCCTCCTCCTTGATGAAGGTGTGGTCCAGGATCCAGAGCACCTTCCTAGAGGACTTTGAGTCTCCCAGTGTTCACCCTCACCCAGCACAGATGAAATTATAGGCAGCCGGAACGTGGGCATTTTTCATTCTTGCAATTGTAGCTTGTACTTCTTTTGTCCAATGTTTGATGAACTGCAAGCTGTGAAATTTTCAAAGCCAATCTGCCTGCAAGGTACTTTGAAATTTTGTCTCTGAATGGTTTATCAGCATGTGAATTGCTCCTAGATCCAACCCTATAACCACACACTATCCCCTATACCAAACATTTTCCCCATCTCACTCCAGGATAATCACGAAAACACCAGGACAAATAAAGCACACAAGCCTATGTAAGTTCCTTTAAAAAGTAACTTTCAAAAAATTTCCTAGAGTGTAGGATTTCTTTTTTAAAAAAATTTTAAGTGTAGTATTTATTAGAGTTTATAAATGTAAGCATTATAATCAAGACAGAATATTTCTATTATATAAACAACTTTCCTCAGGATGTAGGATTTTCATAACATGAAAACAGTACATTTGCTAACAAATTTTGTTTGATGAGTATCTTCAAGCGACATTTACCAAGTGTCCACAATAGATGTATTAGTCACTTTGCCATTGCTGAGACAGAATATCTGACCTACACAACTATAAGGAGGAAAGGTTTATTTTGGATCAGTGTTTCAGAGGTTTCAGTCTGCCCCTTTTCAACTTGACACCCAAATACATTTTACTTTCCAAATAGAGACACTAGCAAGGTCATAATTCCACCACCATGATGTAACTATCCTGCATACAATGGAAAACACACTAATACTTTCCTCAAAATCTCAATAGTCCCAGAACTGCTCTGAAGGTGAAGTCTAAAATTTCCTCTGAGACTCAAGGCAAACTCTTAGCTATGAACCCCTGTAAAATTCAAAAAGCAAGTTATGTGTTCCCAAGTTACAAGAGCACATGGTAAACAATCCTATTCCAAAAGGGAGGAACAGGAAAATAGAGGGGAAATGACCAAAGCACGACTGAAACCCATCAGTGAAAACATTAAATCCTGTAGCTCCATATCCAGCATCTGTGGCACATGGTGGTGAGACATGAGTTCCAGAGGGCTTTGGCAACTCTGCCCTTATGGCCTTGGCAGTTGCAGCAGCCCACATGACTGCTCTCTTGGGCAGGTTCTGCTCATTGCCTACAGCATTCCTCAGCAGACATGCTATGTTCCTGGCATATCCACCTTCCTGGGGTCTCCCCTGGAACTTTACCTTCACTCTTACAGCATCATGCACTGGCCTCTCAGGGGCTCATGGGAGGGACTTTGGACCTGTAACACACTGTCTAGCCTTGCAAACATTCCTTTGAAATTTGATTGGAAATCTTAGTGACCCTATAACTTTTGCATCTGTGTACCTCAAAAACCAGCTTAACATGAACAACACCAAGGTTTGCAACCAGTGCGAACAGTAGCCAGGCCCACTTGGACTGTGGATACAGTGGCCTGTGAGTACCTGGATGGCTGAGCATGATGAAATGAATCCAGAGACATAGAAAGGTGGGAACAGGAGGCCCAGGACCTCTCTTCTAAAAGGAAAGGTTTATACATTTTTTTTTTTTTCGGTACCGGGGATCGAACTCAGGTCCTTGCACTTGCAAGGCAGGCGACAGAACCACCGAGCTAAATCCCCAGCCCAGGTTTATACTTTTGAGTCCTTGAGCCTGAGATGGTTGGATCTTGTTGATGGCTGAGATGCCCTAAAAGAATCTTCCTTATTCCAGTGCAAAGTATTTGTCTTTTATTTTTATAGGTAATAAAAAAGCTTTAATTGGAAAGTTAGAGGGAAAATAGGAAAGGACTCCAACTTAGGTAGCTGAAGAGTACACTGTGCTATAGGGGTCTAGATTGACCCAATGCAAAGATGGGAAGCCAGCTGGTGGGCTGGGGTCTGGTTGATCATTATCTTGGTCTTGGTGTCATAGTTCTGGAATCTTTGTAGAAGAGGGATGGTTACATTCCCACGGAAAGGACTGTCTGTCTGCAGTGGTCTCAGTCATGTGAGGCTCTGCCTTTCCTGGAATCCAGATGATCACAGGTTCAAGACAATGGCTGGAGGCTTCTGAGTGTAGCTGAATGTCCCTGTAAACCCCTCATCTTGTGTCCTCAGTCTTGAATGGGATGAGACCATGAGAATTCAAGGATATTCAGCCCTGTTCAGCCAGATACTGAATGACCAATATGCCCTATGTAGAGTTGAGAAGAGATATGACCCAGGATTTACAGTGACAAGGACATAAATGAAGGTCAAGCTTTGTTCTTCTTTTAGTTACCTATTGGGCATCTGTAGGCCAAATGAAGAGGCATGGTTCACAGTAAAAATGGCTTTTAAGTTCCTGATTAACCCAGAAAAAACACAAATCATTCTGTTAATGAGTAGCAGGTAAGCAAGGGCTCAGGATTTTGCCTGACCCCGACCTCTATGGCAGTCCCTGACTATGTCATGACAGTGTTGCACTCCTGAAATGGCTTCATTTTAATAGCACTGATCTCTGCAGCAATCACACTATCTTGGCCCCAACTTTACATGTGCTTCTTCTCTGGCTAAAATTTAAATTTTTCAAATCATTCGCTCTGGTTTTTGCTCCTGATTTTTACTAAAAACCTGGGTAAAAGTAGCTAATAATACCCATGCCACAGCCTAAACACTGTGCTGCCCTGAAATTTACTCCACCAGATCAAATAGTCCATTGCCCTTAAGCTTAGCCTCAGACAAAATTTTATAGCATGGATAAAATGTAGAGAAGTTCTTTGCCATAAATATAACTTCCATAGCCTCTAGTCAAATTCCCAATACAATCTTCATTCCTATCTGAAACCTCAAGAAGAGACTTTACTGTACTATACAGTACTGTACTGTACTGATACTGTGTTCCCACCAGAATTTCCCATCAAGCTCTGCTTACAGCATTCTAGGGATTCTAGCCTGCATCTGCAAACATTCCAAACTTCTCCTGCAAACAATTTCCAAAGGCTTTTGAATCACATGATTAGGTATGATCACATGATCAGCAATGGACCCACTTCTCCAGTAACAATTTTCTATATCAGTCAGCTTTTCCATTACTGGGAGAAAATACCTGACATACACAACTTAGAGGAAGAAGTTTATTTTGGCTCATTGTTTCAGATCATCATAAGCTGGCTCCAAGGGAGAAACATCATGGGATGAGGGCATGGTAGAGGAAAGCTCATCAACTCATACCATCCAGGAAGCAGAGCTAAAATGGAAGAGCTACAGAGGAAGGGACAGGGACTAGATATATTCCCGAAGGTCATGCCCAAGTGATCCACCTAGAGGTGTGCTTTACTAATCTCCTAGGTGTCTCTCAAGCCAATCAAGTTTACAACCAAGATCCACTCTCACAAGAGCTAACAACAAAACCTAGTGATATGTGAACAGAGGCTGATACCCACCCTGGCAATGTGGTCATCTCCAAGCAGAGTCTGCAGGAGGGCAGGCAGTTGCTTCTCCAGGTGGAGCTTCCGGCAGAGTTCAGTCAGCTCCTCCTGATCCAGAAAGCCTGTGCCTGTGCTGTCACAACTGTTGTAGACATCCTTGAGCTGTGAGATATAGTGATTATCTTCTTCATCCATCCCATAGCAGGGTGGCCTTGGCAGGGGACAAGAAAAACATTAGGACAAATTTCTTGCCACTGCACACATGTTCCTGCACTACTGGGCAAGCGCGAGTGCAGAGCTGGCAAATGAGAAGAGATAAATGGAGTCTCTCCAGGTCCGGTATGCTGGGGGACCATGGCCCTCTCTGCAGGAGAGGCAGAGCATGCTGGCAGGGACAGCAAGGATGAGCAGTCCTTCGACATCAGTCACAAGAACCAAATGTCTCTGTTGTGTTAAAATCTATTATTCAATAACTTGAAAACAGAGATAAAGATGAAGGGAAGGGATAGGAAAGGGAGATAAATACAAAGAGCATTAAAATCATACAAATTTCTATCACCTATAAAAACTAGTATTAATATTTTTGGCACATCTACATTCTAAACTTTTTGTATAAATCTGTCAATGCGGTTTTTCCTTACAAATTCAAGTATTTACTTATAAATACAAAATAAGTAGTAAAAACTTTACTATATTTCAATAAATAAAATTGCTTATCAGAAAAGATGGAAACTTCAATAAATATATACAGAATATTAATAAATCCAAAAGAAGAAAATTATCTAATTAATAACCACCTAAAAGTGTTCAGATTAAAACAAAGAAATACTATTTATTGTAAATTATTTAGACTAAAAACCTGCAGTCCTAACAAGTAATCATAAGAAGAGAATCTCCCACCTCACCGTAGGAAGGACAACCACAAACACTGAGGGAAGTCATAGTGTCAATATATCAAGAAATTTTAGGGCCGGGGATTTAGCTCAGTGGTTTGGCCGCCTGCTTTGCAAGTGCAAGGACCCGAGTTCAATCCCCGGTACCAAAAACAAAACAAAACAAAACAACAACAACAAAAAGAAATTTTATTCAGTACCCTGGGAAGCTGAGGCAGGAGGATCACAGCCTGGGCAACTTATAGACTTAGTGAGATACTATTTCAAAATAAAAAATAAAAAGAGGGCTGGGAATGTAGGTTGGAGTGGAGGCACTGGGTTCAATACTAGTACCTCAAAATAATAATAATAATAATAATAATAATAATAACAACAACAACAACAACAACAGTGGGATAATTCACAAATGTGAAACAATAAAGCAACAACTGTTATAAGTAGGGCCCACTACAATAACGCTGATTTAATACAGATGTACGATTAAGGTGCAGGTGGGATGGTTGCATTGCCATCACCTTGCAAGGCAGGGAGGTGAGTCAAAACTCTGAGGAACTGGATGAAATATTACATGGTTTATTTTATTTATTTTTATTTTTCTCTGAAATGAATTACAATAAAATATGCTTCCCAGAGTTCCTTCAGTTTGCAGCTTCCCTTGGGTAAGGAATCCTTGACCCCCAGCCATGGCATGGGTGGTGAGAGGCCCCTGGGTATCCCCAGAAGGAAGCCAAGATCCTGGCAGCCACCTGTGGTTTCTGACTGTGGTATACCTGCCAGTGGGGCCTCCACTTCCAGATACGATGCAGCCAACTCCTAGGGTGCTTCGTGGGGCTGGCAGAAACCTGGAGCACAGCAGTGGTGACAGATATGTGCTGGGCTAGGGACTCTCAGGGCTACTGTATAATAGAAAGTCCCTCCCACTGGAAAGTCTGGTCAAATCATGAATACAACCTTTCAGTGACAGTCACCAAAATGTATCTGAAGCAGCCTGGGTGGTGATGGTGTCAGCCAGAGAATGGCCACATTCCTGCTCCCAGGGTCAGTGGAGAGGCCAAGGATCAGGTGCCTGTGACTCATTGGACTCTTTCTGACCATGCAGGGGAGCTCCAAATCAATGCAGACACTGCCAGTGCCATTCCACAGCTGGGGAGCTGGTGTCCCTGCCCCAGCCCTTGCTGTGAGGTCTGGGGACCCCTGCATGGCCATCAGCCGCTTGACTCTGGCTGGTTACAGCTTCTGTGACCCAGCTTCCCACGACCACCATGGTAACTAGAATACCTTGCTGGTCACTGGGGACCAAAGCAACTCCTTGGCGGCCTCTGGGAACCACAAGACCTCACAAGACCTTCAGGCAGTTACTCCGGATGCAGCTACAGAGCATGCCAGGTGCTTCCTGCATGGAAGCCACTGCCAATTCTACTGCTTACTGTGGTGCTGCCACTAATAACCTCACGAGGCCTGTTCCCACCCACAGGGTGGGATCCTATTTCCAGAAGTGTCATCTGGCCTGTTCTCTGCCCTCCTGAGAAGAGCAGTCAGCTGAACAGAAAGGACAGGAACCCTGCATCTTCTGTTTAGACTCCCTAAGGTTGAGAATACCACCACATCCCTCAGCCTTCCCCTCCAGACGCGGGGACGAAGCAAGGAAACAGTGGGGCCTCCCTGGCCCTGAGCAGGAGCTCTGCCTGTCTCCCCCCAGCCCTGCTGGCACCCAGCCTCTGTAGGTGCCCAAGTGTAGCCTCAAACAGAGCTCTCCATCATAAATAACAAACACACCACTTACCAGGGCAGTCCAGAGGCCTCTTTGGTTTCTTCTTCATTGAAACTGAATTATTTATTTAATGATCCTCAGGAGTCCACATGTGCAAAATGTGTGCACATCAAACCACCCGAAAACCTGGCCGGCCTGCGGCAGCCAACCACAGAGTTGGGGACAGTATTCCAGACAGAGAGCAACTCTTGGTTTCTCACAGTTGTATTTTTTTGAATTTGAAATGAGTAGAATCTCAATAGTTCTGATGCCAGAAAGCTTAAGCTAAAATTCAAGCATAAATGTTGCTGCAAAGGTGAAGCAAAATCCTGTTTTCATTCTATCTCCAAAGACTCTGAACATTGCCAGAGAGACAGACATCCTTGGCCACCACTCTGCAGGACAGAGCATCCCTCTGGAGAGGGAGGAGCAAGGTATTGGTTTGCACTTAATTTATGCACAGTGCTGAAGGAATTTAATCTGCCCGGGGGAATCCACCAGGGACCCAGAACACCCCTGCAACAGGAAGCAGTTCCAGACCAGCCCCTCTGCAAGTCGGCTAACCCTGCATAGAGTGGTAGCCTTCAAAATAAGATAACTGCATTCCTGAGTGGGAGAGCGTTACACCCCCAATAAAATACTGAGGCCACTTTTAGGTTCCATCTGAGCAGCTGGCAGCGCCACTACTAACGGTCTCGTGCCCCGCGCAGTCTACTTTCATACCTCAGCAGTTCTGAGCCACCAGAATTCATTTTGGCATTGTTTTCTTGGCTTTTTCTTGTTTTCCAAAATGTATGCTATTTGCTTACTTTTGCTTCCACAGGAACTGAATATCTCAGCAATAAAGTTCCTTTTTTTTCTTTTTTGTGGTGGTGAGCATGAAACCCAGCACCTCACATATTCAAGGCCAGCACTTACCACTGAGCTGCACCCCAGGCCTGAAAGCTCCCTTTTGTGTCAAATAAAGTTTAAGAAGCTCTCTTTTTTATTGTTCCAGTTCCAACAATATAAAAATAGGCTGATACCTCATTTAATTATTACTTACAATATTCTCTTTTTTTCTCCCTACAAAGTAGTTTTTAGACCAGAAACTGTAACAATATCAAGTTTTAAAACTGTTTGGGAAAAGCTACTTTTCTGGGGGGTCTCCTAAAGAAGACACCTTGGTCTGTACTGACAGTGGACTCTGGTGTAAGAGTACTGTTTTAATGTGAGCGTTGTCACCTTGGAGCTCTGTGATGTGAGACAACTTACTTCACCTCACTGGGCCTCAGTCACCTGTTATGGACAACCTCACTAGGACATTGTGAGAATTGGAAGAGGTCATGCTAAACATATTAACATGGTAGGTGCTATGGCCAGGATCTGGCACAGGGTAAATACTGAATAACCTTAGGCATGGCCACAGCTACACGGGCAGACATGTCTCCCATCACCTAGAAAATAGGTGGACACTTACTGCCTGCAAGATTAATAAGCATACACAGATAATCTTGTATATTCAAATTCTATGTCAACATATGTAAGTAAACATTTTTATACCACGTATACTTTTGTTTTTTGGGTTTTTTTCCACTGCACTTGGCATAGTTGGTCCTCTATAACTGTTGACTCTTTTTTTTTT